TATTTCATAGCAAAATTTGGAGACAAAGTTGACTTTCCCAACAAAGTTTTTAAATAAATTTATAAAATTATTAAAAAAAAAAAAAATAAAAGTAAAGAAAAAAAAAAACATTAAATAAAATAATAATAATATTATTAAAATTACATATTTTTGCATTAGAAAATTTTTTTTTTTTTCATTTTAGTGCAATTATGATTCATTTATTCTAAACTTTTCGTTTCTCATAAAATTATAATAAAACATTGAAATGAAAGAAAAATGAATACACATTGTAATTTTTAATGTTTTCAGCCATTTTTTAATCATTCGATATTATAATAGCTGTTATTTATTTTAACGAAAAGAAATTCGTGGCACTTTTAAAAAATTTTTTTACTTTGAAAAACTTTTTAAACTATGCGAGATTTTTACTATAAACAATTATTGTAACTCTCTCTCTCTTTTTTTTTTTTTTTTTTTTTAATGTTTACTTATTTATAACTTAGGGATTATTATTTGAACAAAAATGAAATTATAATTACATTCTGTTAATTTTATTCTGAAAAATAATATTTTTGCTATCATTTTTATCAATTATAATTATAAAGTTTAGATTTTATCTGAGATAATTTATTTATTCTAAGTTTATTATTTTGTCATAAATCACTTATAGTTATTACTAAATTATTTGCACCAATTTTTTTTAAAATAATTGAAAATTAAAAAAACTTAATTTAATTATTGCTATTATTGTCGCTACTACCTATCATAAATAATAGCTTTGTTTTTTTTTTTTTTTTTTTTAAATTTTAGCATTAACAATTAAATTAAAACATTATTGGTGTGATTTTGCTAAAATATGAACTTTTGCTTATTTCATTTTAAATTAGAATGAGCTATTAATAGTTAATGAAAATATACAGAAATATCTTTCTTTCTCATTTATTATTTAAATTAATCCTAAAGATTGATTTTTTCGTCCTTTTTTGACAAAATGGAAATTTCATTTTATTTTAACTTAGATAAATTGGACAAGAAATGATAACTATTATTAAACATATGAAGTTTATTTCTATTGAAACTTCATCGCCATCATTTTTTATCACTTTATTGCTATTAATTTTTAACAATCATTTAAAAATTTTTCAATTTTAAATTTTTCGAAATAAAAATTTGAAAGAAAAATATAGCATAAAAAATTTATTATGAACCATATAATATAAATTGGAATGGTATCGTTTTCTTCAAAATCAAATACTTTTTGAAATTTTCTTCATCAAATTTTTCATTATTACTATTATTTATATTCGAGTAGTATTACTCTTTTTTTTTTCTTTTTTTTTTAAGAAATACATCTACTAATTGGTAAAATTCTCGACTCAAATGTTTTGATTGATTTTAAAAATTGCTTAATTAACAAAGATTGATTTTTTTTTTGTTTTAAAGTTTCAAAGTGCTTAAACATTCGTGTTTTTAGGACAATAAAAAAAAAAAAAATTAAATTTTGCTTAGATGCTTAAATTGTAGATACTTTGAGAGTTAAATTACTATCAGTTTATCAATCAACCAATCATACTAATCGTTATCGATTGCTTCAAAATATTGATTTTTCGTGCGAAAAATTTTGATTAATTTTTATGATTTATAGTTTCACATAGAAAAAATCATGATAAATTTGCCTTTTTTCTTTATTCATTCATAAAAATAGTAAATTTTTTTCTTTTTTACATTTTTATTCTAATTTTGCTAGATTATTGAAGTTTTATTTTAATTTAAAAATGAGCTATTTAAAATTGTTGCATAGGTTTTTTTTTTTTTTTTTTTTTAATTTTATTACAGTCATTTTTTAAATTTCAAAACAATTTGCTATAAACAGTATTCATTAAAGAATAACGCTTCTTTTTGAGAGAGAGAGAGAGAGAGAGAGAGAGAGAGATAAATTTGAAAAGGAAAATTAAAATTTATTTGAATTTAAAAATAAGTTACTTAGAATTGTTATTCATTATTCCTATTATTTAATAAATATATATTTGCATTTCGGAATATTACTTCTAATTAATGTGAAATTTTCAGCTTGTCTCAACTTATGCTCTATTACATTTGCCATTTCTGTTTTATTTTAAAAAATTTATTTTCTGAAATCATCGAATTCAAATTGGAATTCTTAGATTCATAAATTTGCAAATCTATTAAATCTCATTTATAATTTTTTAATAAATTTTTCTCAATTTCTTTTCATAATTTAGCTAGGAATATTGGAATGTTTGATACCTATGTTTTCCACTTTAACTTAATATTTTATATTATTTCTTTTAGCTGAATTAATTTTTTTTTTTTTTTTTTTGAGTTATTAATAATTTGCTAATATTATAACAATTATTTCAAATAACCAATAATTTAATTTTAATCAACCAAATTGAGGAATAAATTAATAATTAATTAATACATTAATAACAACTAAGAAATTTTGTTTTTTTGTTTTTTAATAGTTTTATCAATTTTGAATTAAAATGCTTTTTGAATATGCTTTTTAATTATAAAAATTAAATGCTTGAAGTGTTAACGATGTTAAATTCTTTTCGAATTGCTTTTATTCACTGATTCATTATGAAAGGCATTGATAGTTCCTTCGTATAATTGTATATTTCTGTGGTTCCATTACACTTGTAACTGATAATAAAGTTAAACTGATAATAATATCTGATTTAATCAACTGAGACAAACCATTATCTACAATAAAATTAAATTTTACTTCATACTGATAATTATTTTATCATAAATTATCATCACCAAACTCACTGATTTAGTAACTTTTCAAAAATCAATTAATATTTAAAACTTTCAGAATGATTGCAGTTAAAAATTATACTTTTACAGATATATATTCAACTATTATTCTTACTTCTATTTACTTCTGCAATTGTCAACAAATTTTTTTGTATGTGACATTTTGTGGTACTATTAAAGCATACTAAAAATAAAGTCACTAGTAATTTCTTTATAAGGAAGAAAAATTAATTTTTTATAAAGATGAAACGAATCAAAAGATAAAAACAGAATAAATAATTTTGTCACTGAGATCATATATTTTAATTATACGTTAAATACACTTTAATTAGTATTAATTAAGTTAAAATTATACTTTAAGTAATATTAAAATAAAATATCTCATTTCTCAGTTAATGAATTTGAATTCCTTTTAAATCGAAACGCTTAATTGTTTATCCATGTTGTAAACTCAGTAGAAATAATTACTTATATTAAAATCATCAAGCAAGATAAGCTATTTTGTTTTGGCTTGCCAAAATTTAAATTTGAAAATTAAACAGAGGTGAAAATAATACTATCTATCTCATTTTTTTAATAAATTTATCTTTTTTTTTTTTTTATTCATAAACTTCTCTTTCATTTATGATTAATGAATTTTTACTACAAATACTTAAATCAATAATTTATTGATGTAAACAACAACAAATAGACAAAAACTTTTTTTTTTTACTTAGTTATTTACTTAGCTCATCAAAAGTAATCACAAATTTTTGGCTAAATTATTGCAAAAAAATGGAACAAAATTTTTTACATTTAAAAAATTTTCAGATTAAAATAGTCTTTCGAACTAATTCAAACTTTTAACATAATTTTAGCTTATTCTTCCTTTTTTTTTTCTCAAATTATTTACTCATAGAAAAAAAAAAAAGAAATTGGAAAGAAATAAATTCGATCATTTTAGTTCCCACAAGTTATCAAATAAATACGAATCTTTAATTTTCATTCAGTGATAAATTATAAATATTGTGAGAGAAGAAAAAAAAAAAAAAAAAAAAAAATTTTTTTTTGAAAAAAAAATTATTTTTTTTATTCTTTAAACTTTTCATTTTTTTTTTATTTTTTTGAGTAAACAAAATTTATGTTTCATTGATAGAAAATGGTAGAATTTATTTCTTTTAGAATTTTTAGAATTGATAAGGAAATGCGGCTAGTATTACAGCTGTTGTGAAAGTATGAAATAGTTAGTTGAGTAAATAAAAGTTTTGATAAAAAATTTAAATTTGAAAATACTTAAATTCAATTTTTTGATATGCATAAGATAAATTAATATTGATTAATTGGAAAATACAATGTGCAAAAATTTTTTCAGCAAGCATATTACTTAATAAAAGATAAATATATTTTTTTTAGAAAGTAAAATTACAAGAATATGAAATAAATTTGTTGTCACAGTATCATTTTAATTTCAAATAAGTAAACAAATTCTTGAATGCATAATTTTCTAGTGTATTTCAGATTTTATGTTATTAATTTAATTTGGAAATTCTGTTAAGTGAAAATAAGTATTATTACTGATAGGTTGAATAATTTTGAAACCTAAAAAATTTGATAAGATTTTTCGAAGGAAATGTTATCAAACCTGATAGATATAATTTAATTACAAATAATTTTGATTGCTAACTTGAATTAGTGACTTTTTTTCAAAGATAAAAAAAAATAGTTAAAAATTTGAACATCATTTAGCTAATAGATCATTTATCAGTTATTACATTTCTTTCTAAATCATTCATTAATGTATAAAAGATTTGCCAGAGTTTAAATTTTAAGACTTAATTAAACAATCAATTAATTTATAATACTTAATTTTACTTACTTTATAGTTGTTGTATTAAACTCTCGACTAATTAAAGTTAACTAATCAAGTTAGCTCTCTACTAATCATGAGATAACTGATCAAATTAACTATCAAAACTGTTTGTTTAAATTAATATAAAATAATACTAATTTAAAAACGAATAGTCCATTTTGTTTAGTGAAATTTTTAGAAATCTGAAAATAAACGCATATTTCGTGTTATTTGTAATTGATATCAATAATAATCAAAATTAACTCTATCCTGTATCATTAGTTTTTTTTTTTCAACAATTTTTAACAATTTTCTTTTTTATCTTTTAATTTTTAGGTACAATCTCAGGACTTATTCATTTAGTGATTTAAATTAATTCTTCTAAATTAAATTTACTAAAAGCAAAATGAATGTTACGGAAGTGTTAGATAATAATAGTACAACAAATTTGGAGAATACAGGCACCGATTTATATCTTTTCATTTTACCAATAATTGTTATTTTTGGTTTGTGCGGTAATGTCATCTCATTGGTTACCATCTTTCATTCACGGTTACGAGAAGTAAGTTTATTAAATTTATTTAAATTTTCTTTTTTTTTTCTTTTTTGTTTATTTTCTTCTATTTACTAATATGCTCAAACGAAAATTTCAAAGAAAGAAAGGATAATAAAACTAATTTTTGATCGAAATTAACAGTTTTGATGTTTTAAAAAAATGATCAACAAAAATGTTTATTTTTGCATTTTCTTTTCTCTATTCTTTATTATATATATATATTATAAAAATTTGATTATAACAAATAAAATTAATATTCATTAATATCAGTAAAAATAACAGTAAAAATTATAGCGCAATTATAATTTCAAAAAATTCAATTTTAAATTTGTTATAAACGAATAAAACGTTTTGTTTGAAATAGTACATATTTTGATTGTTACCACAAAAATATTTACCAAAATATTTCATTTTAATAAAAAATAATTTCATTTTTTATTAATTTCATTTTACTACAATTTATTAGTTATTTGACTAAAATCATTTATTAATAATTTTATCATTTTAATATCTAATTTCTAAGGCAAACAATTTGCAGATCTCAGCTAATCTCTATTTAATAGTTTTGACAACATCAGATAGCGTTTTTCTACTTGGTTTATTACTAATTCTATTCAAACTTGATTTTATCACTTATCACTTTTGTGTTATCATTGAATATATCTTATCAACATCATCATATATCAGTAGCTGGTCCGTTGCTGCACTTACAATTGAACGTTATTTGGCTATTGCATATCCTTTGAAACATGCCCGGGTTACTCTTTACCTTTTTGCAAATATTTTTAAAGTAAAGTAAATCATAGAAATTATCTTAAATTATTTCCTATTAATTTTTCACTAAATAAATTTAAAAATTTTTTAATTTAAATTTATTTTCTGACAAAATATGCACAAAGGATAAATAAGTAAAATTGTGCATTTCATTCTTTTTTTTTTTATTTATTAATATTAATTCTGTAAATAATTGAATATATTTCAATTGATTGTATTGATTTTAATAAAAAACTATAAAATAGTAAAACCACAAAAATGTAGTAAAAAAAAAAGTAAAAATTATGAACAAAATAGCAAAATTTTACAGTATGGACATTTGGATCGATGGAAAATGATTTTATTTTGGATTCCAGTACCATTCGCTTTCAATTTAATTCAGTTCATATCACTGATACCGTATAATGATAAAAGTGATCCACAATATCCGAATATACGGAAATGTATTCCATATGATGGTAGTTTTCAGGTTATTTTGCTTTGCACAATTCTACGCTAAAAAAATTTCAAATTAAAATTGAAGCTTAAAAGTTTATTTCCTTAGAAAGATTTAATATTTGGTTTGTACTGCGCAAAATTAGTTAACCACTGGTTGGTTAGTTAAGTTTTTTTTTTTTTTTTTTTTTAATTCTAATAATAAAAAATACAAAAGGATCATTTAAATATTATCATTTATTATTCACTAATTAAAATTTAAAATATTATTTTTTAATTGATTATGTGAAAAAAAAAAAATGGAATTGTTTTTTTTTTTTTTTTTCGTTTAATTTCAAAAGAATAATTGTTGAAGATTGTTATCGAAGCTACTGATGTAATATTATGTTATGTAATGCCATGTTTTTGTGTAGTTTTATTGAATTTACTAGTTGCTGGAAAAGTAAAACGTGGTTTCACGTGTGATTCTAATCGATCACGTTTTAATAGCAGTTCAATTCGACGTCGTCAAAGCTCAGCTATGTTTGTTATCATCATATTTTTTCTTTTTTCATTCTTTTTTTTCAGGATGATTTATGAGAAAATAGCAACTAATTTGCAACAAATATAAATTTAAATTTGTAATTTCAAAAAAAAAAAAAATTATTTACAGGATATTATTAGTAGTACCAATAGTATATATATCATTAAATACACCATTTTATTTACTACGAATAATGGATACAATAGCATTATACGTCTTTCAAAGTAATGAATTTTCAATTATTGGTGGCTTAGATGGTACACTTACCATATTCTTATATAATACCGCTCATTACTTATATTATATTAATTTTGCTTGCGATGTGATCGTTTATGCATTTTCAAGGTTTGTACAATTTTTTTTCTTTTTTTTTCCTTTTTTGATAATACATATTTTCATACAAATAATTAATTCAAAAAAAATTTTTTTTTTTTTTTTGTATGCAAATTTAATTTCAGTTTGTATGCTAACTTTAACAAGAACTTTTTTTGCATGCAAACTTAATTTCAGTCTCTTTTTTTGTATACAAACTTAATTTCAGTCTTTTTTTTGTATACAAACTTAATTTCAGCCTCTTTTTTGTGTGCAAAAAGAACTTTTTTGTGTGTTAATTTCAGGCTTTTTTTTTGTATGCTAACTTTAAAAAAAAACTTTTTTATATGCAAACTTAATTTCGGTCTTTTTTGTATGCAAACTTTAAAAAAAATTTGTTGTATACAAACTTAATTTCAGTCTTTTTTTGTATACAAACTTAATTTCAGTCTTTTTTTTGTATACAAACTTAATTTCAGTCTCTTTTTTTGTATGCAAACTTAATTTTTTTTTGTATACAAACTTAATTTAATTTCAGTCTTTTTTGTACGTAAACTTAATTTCAGTCTTTTTTTTGTATGTAAACTTAATTTCAGTCCCAATTTTCGTAAAACAGCAATGATTGCATGGCGCCAAATAGTATTTTCACATGGTGGAAAAATTCAAAAAGCAGCAACACCTAACGAACGATACGGCAATGTTAGCTGTCGTTTGTCAAAGTTAACTAATGAAAATATTTCCATCATGCAACTGCAATAATGCATACATATGTATAGTTACAAAATTTTTTTTTTTTCTTTTTACGAAAAATTTTATAAAATTAATTTGAATTTGTATTGTTACAATTTTTTTTCAACAAAGAATTTTATAAATTTAATTTAAATTTGATTTGAATTTGCATAGTTATAATTTTTTTATGAAGAATTTCATAAATTTTATTTGAATTTGCATAACTACAATATAAATTTTTTTTTTTTTTGCAAGAATTTTTATAAATTTGATTTGAATTTCCACATAAAATTCTTCGTAAAAAGAGTTATAAAATTGTTTTTTTTTTTTTAAGAAAGAATTTTATAAATTTGATTTGAATTTGATTAGTTATAATTTTGTTTAATTAAAATGCATTTTGATTTAAATTTGCATAATTGCAATGCAATTTTTATTACAAAAAATTTTATAAAATTCATTTGAATTTGCATAGTTACAATTTTTTTTGCAAAAAGTTTTACAAATTTGATTCGAAATAATAAATTTTTGCATTATTAACAAACATTGTAATTTGTAATGCATTATCTTTTTGCAAAGATTTTCACAATTTTGTAAAATTTTAAATTATTTTTGGAAACAATATAAACTTTTTGACAATACAATAAATATTATAATACAAAAATATCAAAGCAATTTTATTTAATTGCAAGAAAAAAATGTTTCATAAATATTTGCTTTTTTTTTTTTTTTTGCAACTTTTTCAAAAAGTATTGTTTAACATATTCGTAACAATCAACATCCTATATTTAAGTATTATATTTTAAGTATTTAAGTATTGTAATTTTACCTTAAGTATCATAATTTACTGAATGTATATTTCAAATGAAACAAATCAGAAATAAAAGAATTCATATAAATACTTAATGAGTACGACACTTTTTTTTTTTTGTGAGTAATACAATGAAGGTAAAACAGATATAAATTCATAAAAGAAAGAAAAAAATGGAATTGGCAGAAAAGTACTGTAAATTTTGTAGTAAAACTTAATTTCTGCTTCGTTTAAATTTAAAATTTAGCTAAAGCAAGCAATAATCTCTAAATTAATGATTTTAATTACAAAAATTTAAATCATAAATATTGCTCTTTTTTTTTTTAATTTTATAAAAATAAAATTATATAACTATTTTCTTTTTTTTTTTTCAATTTTTTGCACAAATTGCATTATTTTCATACTAATATTATATGATATTATTTAAAAGATAATACAAACGATATAATAACTATCAGTATGAAAGATTTGATAAAAATTTTCCCACTAATGATAATGATATGAAAGAATTAATCAGTGTAAGAAATAAAATGATTAAGCTTATGCTAATTATTTTCTTTCTTTTTTTTTTTTTTTTTTCAGGTTTAATACTTCTTGTTATTTTTAAATTGTGTATTTGAGTATATATTTTCATTTATTCATTGTTATTTAAATAAAAATTTGTGTTTGCAATAAATTCAAATAGCATTTTTTGAAATTACAATTAAATATATAAAATTTTCAATTGATTCTTTTGAAAATGTAACATTTAGCTTTAATTTTTTTTTTTTTTTTTTTATTGGGAAAGAGGAAGGGTTACGATGACGAGTAGTATTAAATTATACAATCATCGAATAAAATTGTATCGTAGCAACACCGTTCAGAGATCGAACAGACAGCTGGCATAACGGTCATCATGAAATGAAGGAGAGAGAGGGTTTTTTAAAGAGAGAGAGAGAGAGTTTTTTAAAGGGAGAGAGAGAGCTTTTAAATATAAATGTTACAAGGAAGCACAAAGCTGTATCATCCAACAACAAATAAAAAAAAAAAAAAGAAAAATCTATTAAATCCATGAAATGAAATTTTGAAAAGAACAAAAATGAAATTTACAATTGTGAGAAATTGATTAGTGATGAATTAAAAAAAAAAAAAAAAAAAAAAAAATTAAATTTCATTACTTTAAAATAATGCATTTAATGCTATACTATGTAATCAATTATAAAGTTAATTTTAAAAGAAAAGAAATGAAAAAGAAAATGATACTAACATTGAATAAACTATTTCACTTATAAAATTTGTAATCAAAAAATGAAATTAAATATCATTGATAATTTAAATATGATAGTTACATCGTTGTTAATAATAAAATTTATGAAATGTATTTGTTATGTTTTAATATGGATGAGCAATTGAGCAATGATCATTCTATTGTGTGTTATTTATTTATTTCCTTTTTTTTTTTACACCGCTTCGTAATCAATTTTTAACCAATCAAAACTAATTAATTAATCGGAACTTAATTAGAAATTAATCAGAACTAAGAAGGACTAACAAAATTTGAATTATTATCATTTAAATTAAAATATTACTTAAATTATCAGTGATCAGATTATTTTATTATATATCATTTAATCATAAAAATCTTAAATAATCTCTTTTATACAATTATTATTCATTTGCATTAAAAAAAGAAAAAGAAAGATTAGGATGTGACGTTTTTGAGAAAAAATCATTTATTCATGCAAATGTGTTCTGATTGTATAATCTGATAAACGATAACACCAAAATAGATGGCTTATATTGATGAGACTTTTTTTTTCATTTTTCTTTTTTTTTTTTGTTTTAGAAATGACTTTTTGTTTTTTTTTTCACATGATTATATATTAATGAAAAGTAAATGAGTTGTTTTTTATTTAATCTTAAATCAAATATTTTCTTTTTTTTTTTTTGCTTCTTATCAACAAATTAGGAAACTTTGAATTATTGCAGAAAAAAATAGTTAAAGTTTTTTTTTTTCATTTCCAAAAATTCTAAAAAATGCAATTAATGCTATGAATGGTTTTTTTTTTTTTTTCTAACAAAAAAGGAAGGTTGCATTTTTTTTAAAGCTATTTGGACGGAAAAATTAGATGAACAAAATTTGAGAAATTTAAATTAAGAAATATAATTATTATTGTTTTATTCATACCATTCATGTTATCTTATGCATGTATTTATATAATAAATTAAATCTTGTAAAATTTTCAATTTTTTAAAGCATATCATATTGACATAATTTTTTTTTTTTTTTGAAAAAAATAAAAGCACAATATTTGCAATTAGCAATTCGTAATGTAATGCTTTTCACTTTTAACAATAATGGATTTATACGATGGAATTGATTATCTTTAGGTTAAAATATATTTATCAGGAATTCAACAAAACAGTAGGTTTGGTTATTGATTCCTTCGTAATTTTTGAATTTTCCCTTAGAAAATTGATATTTTATTTACGGATGAAAAATATTAATTATTATCATCTTTTCCAATAAAAATTATTTTAATTTTTATTTCAATGCTTATTTCACTTGATAACGAGAATGCATCATTATCATCAATTCAGATACGATTATTTTCTTTTTTATTTATTTTTTGAATAATTCATATTCCTAGCATTTGAACCACCTATTCATATCTTTTTATTTAGAATCTAAATTAAATTTCTTGTACATTATTATTTTTTTTTCAGCTATATTATTACTATTATCTTTTAACAATTTTCAATGGAAAAATAGTATTTATCATTTGATGAAAAATATTTCTTAGTATTTTGATTAAATAGTTAATATATATTTCTTAGTAATTTTGAAAAATATTTCTTAGTATTTTGATTAAATAGTTAATTTAAGTAATTATAGAAACCGGAATTTTTCCACTTATGTAAAAAGAATGACTTTTTTGTTTTGTTTTTTCTTGATTGATTGATCTTATTTCTATAAAATAATGACTGTGAAAATAATTTGTTTCATGTGATCCTCTCAAACTGAAAAAAATATTATCTTTTCTATAAATTACTTAATAGTTTCTCTTTCTGTTTTGGTTTTTTTTTTTTTCTTCTTTTAAGATTGTTAGGAAAAAGCAATGAATAAAAGAGACGAAAAAAAAATTTCTTTTTTTTTTTTTTGAAATGTTGCAAAATTTAATGTTTTATTGACATTTGATACTGATATTCGTGATCAGATCTCCTTCTCTGATATGTTAGCAATGTTAGCATGGTGAATAGAAAAAAAGAAATACGAAGTTAGCAATCAAAATTTAAGATAATAATAGTATTACAATTCAATTATAATAAAGAAAAATGATTGGAAATGAACAAAAAAAGTTTTTTTTAAGCAATCAAAATATTCATTTGCAAAAATTGAGATTTTGTTTTAAAATTTTTTAATAACATTTATATTATTTGAAATTTGGAATATTGCGGAACTTTTCCAACTATTTTATTTGGAGTTATCAAAAAATTTTAATTAAATAGAAATAAGTATGATATAGTAAAATTTAAGACTACAAAAGTAAAAAAAAAAAGAAGCATTAAATGATAGGAAGATGAAAAAATGTCATCTGTCAATAGAATTTTAGTTTAACCAAGCAATGATTCAACATTTAAAAGTCATACATACTATGCAAATAAATGAGCTTAGAGCATTTTAAAATAATATTTTAAGAATGTCGATCCCAATTTATAAGAGCTTAAATGAATAATTTAAAAAAGAATTCTAAAAAAGAATATTTTAAAACTTAAAATTCTAAAAATCTTCACTCAGTCTCAGCTAAATTTAATCGCCTAAAAAGTTTATAAGTTGTCATTAAATAATAAACGACAACTTCTATCCCATCAATTTTTAATAAACTTTTTCTTTCTTAACAACTTTGAAATGCCATTAATAAAGGTAGTTCGATATTTTTGATTTCAAAAATTTGATTATCTGGTTTGAATGAGTTAATTCTATTACTATTAATTCATTAATTGTTGTATTAAATTACTGCGGTTGTATTTGAATGAAAAATACCACTAATTAATTAACTCTTATTAGGTTTCTTCATGGTTTTGTTTACTTTCATATATTTACTCTCTCATTCCCTTTTTCTCTCCAATAATGAATAAAGTAGAAAGTAATATTGAAAATAAACTATATAATTTTGTAAAAAAAAATGTATAGATGATAAGATGATATAATAAAAAATATATACAAATAAGCCATGCCATACATTTTTTTCTTTAAATTATTGAAGTAAATTTAAAAATTAAAAAAAGCAAAAAAATAAAAATAAAATTGAATCTGTTCTTTATTTCTTCTGTTTAAGTTTTACTACCTATTAATCACTCATGATGACAATAGTGATGACAATAATGATAATAGTAGGTGTATAAGCAGTTGAGAAGCAAATAAGTTTGCTCCTCCTCTTAGTATCATTATTGTTTGTTGTAGTGGTATTTGTGCACCGTTCATTTCAATCATTTTCTCATTTCTATGCAAATTTTTGATTTGTTGTTGTCTCGTTTTACTTGCTCCATTCCCATATTTCATATCGTTGTAATATCAAAGATTACGGTTTTTTGATGTAGAAATTAAACAGAGAAAACTTTTTCCTTCCTTCCTTCCCACCTTTCTCTCTCTCTCTCCCTCTCTCTCTCTTCTCTGTCTACGTCTCTTCTCCTCCATTTGTGACATTATAGTTTCTCAGTTTTGAATTTTATACGAAATATAAATTTGTTCCCAATCACTTTATTTCTAAATTATTTTCTTTCAACTAATTATTATTTTTTTTTTTTTTAAATTATTCATAATTTCTTTGAAATAAGTATATTGCATTTAAAAAGCATTTTGAAATAATTTTTTAATTGGTATATAATTGAATGAAATATGTTTATTTGGAGGAATATTATTTTGAGGAGAAGATGAAGGATAATTATAAGGTTGAATTGATAAAGTCTATCATCTGATTGATTAATTGCAAGAAGAAATTTCATTTCAAAACATTGAAATTAAAAATTTAATAATCATCTCTTCCCTTTCATCATGAAATATTTTATTACTTAATGAAAGGAAACTTTTCAACAGTTTTAATTTTTCACAAAAATTTCAAATATTACTTTACTATTTTTCTTTGCTACTTTTTTTTGGATTTCCTTGCTTTAATGAGTAATAAATTGATGAAAAAAAGAAAACGAATCAACGATAACATTCGTAGACGAAACTTTTATCAACAAATATTCTTTTATCCGTTTTTTTTTTTTTTTTTTTAATAAAGGAATTTATTGATTTTATTTTTTAAATATATAACATTTTATTAGAAAACAGTTATTCCGTCTTTTTCTTTCAACAATTTCTTATTCTGAATTTAACTAAAGTCATATGAGCATTTTATTCATAGGAGCAGAAATTTTAAATTCTTATTCCATGTTCAAATTTATCGTATTAAATTTATTTTTATTATCATTAATATTTGAAATTTATTATATTATTACTTGAAAAAATGAACTTACTTTTTGCTTTCTTAAATATGCAATTTTATAACGAAACAAATATAATTTGAAATATAAATTGAATTAAAAAGGAATTAAAAGGCAGAAAAAAGAGATATCACTTTTGACTACTGAAATAGATTGAATTTATATGATAGGAAGATGAAGAGATGATATTGTTGTGTAGGAAGGCTTGAATGTTATCACCTTGATAAGAGTTATAAACTAGCTTCTTATCAGTTAGCTAAAAGAAATGATAGAAGTTATAAGATAGCTCAAAGAAAGGCTACCATAGTAGTAGTAGCTTATTTATTTCGCATTTGTGAAATAATGAAAGTAAAAATTTTGCTATTTATCATAAAATAAAATTAATTATGCAAATTTTACAAAAAAAAAAAATTATCAGATATTTGAAATTTTTTAAACAAAGCAAACAGATCCATCACTGAATAATTGAATTTTATATTTTTGATTATTTCTATTTTATTTTGGATTGAAGAGATGAAAATGTTGAAAATAAGTAAAATTTTTGATGATTTTTTTAAAATAAATTTTATTAAAAATAACTAAAAAAACTTTTTCATTATAAATGAAAAAGAAAAAAGAAAATCACATATGAAATTTTTTTTTTTCACTGTACATCTGTCATTTACAAAAATGGTACGTTTGCTTTTTTTCTTTTCTCAGAAATCATTTATAATTTGATAGCTTACAAAAAAAAAAACGATGAAAATAATTGCTAATATTATGTAAAATGCTTAACAATTAAAAAATTTTTTTCCTTCTACCAATCAATTTTATAGTTTATTAATTTTAATTTAACGAAATTTTAATAATTCGAAAATTGAAATGCATCAATTAATTTCATCGATGCATTTTTTTCAAACAAACAAACAAAAAAAGGAAAAAAAAAGAGTAATAAAGGAAAAATAAACATAAAATTCTAAAATAGTTATTAATATTTTGCAGCATGGAACATCGAAGAGAATAATTTTTGCAATAAAAAGTAAATAGAAGAATATTTTATAGTTTACTTATCATAATTGTTAATATAATCTATGTGATTATGTGATAAAATAAGTGAAAATTATTTTCAATCTGTTTATTTTCATCTCACTTTTCCATTTTTAATAATTTTATTATAGATAATTTTTTTTCAATAATTTTATTAGCATTGGGGGCATAAAAAAAAATATTGTAAATTTACAATTATTAGTATTTAATTTTTTTTTTTTCGAATTCAATAATACTACAGTTGTGTGTAAATTTAAATTAATCATCTGCATCATGCATCATCATTTAGCAAAATATATTCATTTTTATTATCATTTCACATTTTTTTTTTAGATTTTAAGTTACATTTTAAGTTTTAACATTAAATTTTGACATGAAATCAGATTAGATAACAATTAAAATATGAATGTAGAAAATTATTATTACATCCCTTTCAAATAAGAGAAAAAAAATTAATCTTTTCTTTTTTAGTGTGCTAAATCTTAAAAAAAAAAAGGAAGCCGATTAAAAAAAAACTATGGAAAAATGGATAATTTATAATCTTAGTAGCACTTTGTGGTATACTTTACTTTCTCTTAAGTATTGTTAAGTAACAAAAGATCTTATAAGACTACAATCTTTCGTTCTTTTTTTTCTATCATTTTTAATCAATGCTAACTTTTTTTTTTTGCTAATCTTCGTTTTATTTATCAAAAAAAAATCATATACTTTCCTTTGATTAAATTCCGAATCGCTTATCATCAATCGTTCTTCTTTTTTTTTAATTCTATCTAATCTTATTTTGCTATTATTAAAATGCAAATTTTTTAAAAATAATGAAATTTAATTGTTGATTGATCAGATTCAGGAAATTACATCTAAAAAATTACAAATGAAATGCTATAACTATTAGTAGTTTTTTTTCTTTTATTCTAATATTTGTGGCATTTTTTCATTTTTAAAATTATTTGGAATAGTTAAAAAAATTATGAGTTTTTTTTTTTAAATTCTCTTTTTTGAATAATTAAATTTAAATAGTTAAAAAAATACATTGCAATGAAATCTAATGCTTTCCCCTTTAGCTATTGTAATAGCTTTTGCTAACTTTTTCATATTGCTGTATCATTTAATACATCTTTGAAGCTGTATCATTTTGATAAGAAATCTGATAAATACAGAAGGCCAACTGATAAATATAAAAAGCTACAGCTAACTGAATTATATGTAATAGTTTTCGTTAAATTACTACAACTACTGCAATTAATTTCGATTATATTCCGGAATTAAATTCAATTTTGTTGTCTTGAAGTGACCTCTTAAAGTATTGAAAAATTTCCTTAGCTTTTGACATTGTAAACGAACGGTACGGCTCAATCGTAATTTCCTCTAAAGAAAGATAAATATAACTATTTCCTGTAAATTACATCAATTATTGACGATCGGAAAGCTACTTCCTCAATAATTGGAAATGAAAAAATGAATTGTCAAATATCAATTTCAATATTTTTCTCTCGTAAAATTTGTGAAAATGTCATGAAACTTATATTTCAAATATTTCAACATTATTTTAGTTGGATGTCTCATTAACTCATTTAATTGTTCATTAATGTTAGAAAGTTAAAAAGTCAGAAAATATCAACAAAAAGTTATTTAACTTGTCATAAACAATTATATTTCTAAGAAACGAATCGTCATTTTGAATTGTAAATTTTTAATAGATTAAATAAAACAATAATCAACGATATCCGATTCGATAATATAATTAGAACATATAAGCTTAGCTCGTATATACACTACAAAATTCAGCTTATATATAAAATGTGGTTGTACAGTGCAACCGTATTGACTGCTTTTACTTATTTGGTATGTTCCAGTAATCTATTTGATGCCAAAAAACGACTCAAAAAGGTAATAATCTATGTTTTATTTCCATTTTACAATCTTAAAATTCAAACAAAATTTAACTTTAATATCGATTTTCAATTTATTATTTATATTTATATGTATTACTGTTCTTAATTTGATATAAAAATTAACCAAAGATCGCTAAATGGGGTAATTTCGAAGAGTTAACTTGCATTACTTAACTTTAGGTTTTGTTAAAGCAACAGTTGAAATTTTTTTTTTTTCTTTTATTTATAACAACTGTGTTGAACTGTATGGATTTAATCCAAAATTCATTCAATAGAATTCTTAAAATTTCATTTTTTTTTTTCTCTTTTGAATTTTAAGAATGGAAATCATACATCATCAGTAAATTATCGTCGACGTTATCGTTTACCATTAGCTGATAAAGAAGAGATACAAATTCCAATGAGAATACCTAAATTATCAAGAGCACAAAAAATAGCATTGATTATTGAATCAGGACAAAATCCATTTGAAAAGAAGCGAAAACGAAAAGAGAAAGGTTATTTTTAAAAAAAAAAAGCAATTTTTACAAACAATCAATTTTTATTTATTAAAAAAAAAAAAAGAAAAGAAAGTATTTAATGAAATTTTTTTAAAGAGATATTAAGGGATTTGACATTGATTTCAGGAAAAATACGCTTAAGAAAGCTAAGACATGTGCGACAATATCCGAACAATGCATTTTTGTTGTTGGATGATAACGATGGTGATGAATTGCAATGGAATATTAATATGTATCGTGAAAGTGATACTGATAAAATGCAGAAACAACAACAACAATCTGGAAGATTCGAGAATTCTCGATGGGAAGCAGATACGGAATTAGCAACAACAACAGTCAAAACTGAATGGGAAAATATAAAAAAGTCATACAATGGAAGTAATCATTGGGAAAGTTCAACATTATGGTACTGGGATACTTCAACAAATCCAACATACTGGCATACCTCAGTGACATCTAATTCTTGGCAAACAACTACCAAACATCCACTTTGGAGGCAAAATATTGAAACAGTAATAACTACAACAACTACTACTACATCACCTATCACTGATAGTATTATTGTTTTTACAACTACCTCTACACCACCTGTACCAGATGTAACCGAAGAAGAGTTTATCTGGGAACGATTACAGGTTGCAACACCAGGTACATCGCCAAAACCAAATCAACCACTTGCTCTACCAATGAAAAATTGTCCACATCGCTTTGATGCAGTTACACGTGGTATTGATTAATATTCTGAATTGAAATCATTGCAGAACAAAGAAAAAAAGCACTGAATCAAAAAACTCAAAAGTTTTACTCATTTTTTTAAATTACTAAATTATTTGCTATTCAATTTAGTTCTGCGGATAAAACTATAAAAATTGACATTCTTATCCAAACGTACGAGTTTTGTTTTGTTTTTAATTTTAAAATTTAAATTTAAAATTTGTAGCATTTAACGGTCGTACATATGTATTTGCTCGTGATCGTGTATATCAGCTGTGGAGACATGATAATTTACATCAAAAAGCATCATTTCTTATCAGTGAGATGTTTCCAAAAGGTCCACGTACCGTTACCGTAGCATACACTAATAGTAGAAGTGGTGTAACGGTACTTATTGAACATCAAACAGTTTACCGATATCGATGGAATCGAAAGAATAAAGTTTTCTATGTTAGTATTCCTACTATTAATTTCAATGGTACCTTTTTTTTTTTTTATTTTAATAATGAAATTAAAAATTGTGACAAATAATTTTACAGCTTGCTCGAAAGAGTCCTCAGACATTAACAACAAAAATGCCCGTATATCCCCGTGCAGGATTTCAATGGGTAGATGGTAATCAAGTTCTTGTCGAAGTAAATTCATTTCATTTTCTTTTGTCAGTATTTTATTAAAAGAAACCTGTTATCTGTTTGTATTTAAAAAAAAAAAAAAACTTTGCTATTTTTATAATTAAATTTAATTGTTTCATTTTTGGATATTCAAAATAAAATGGAATTATTAGAGGAAATTTTAGGGAGATAATTTTGCAACATACGATGCATACTGGAATGTTGCAACATTTTCTGGCTTAACAACAAATTATTTTCCACAATTTCCACGCGATTTAATTGGATTAACTTATCAGAATGATACCTTTTTCATTCTTTATACAGCATCCAATAAAATACAGGTAGAAAATGATAAATAATTAATTATGAAAGTTATTCTATTATCACACATAATTTAATAATGTTTCATTATCTGATAAGAATCTTACTAGAAAGATTAGTTATAAATTCTTTTCAATAAAATAAACCAAATTTTTGGTCAATTTTCTTTTCATATTAATTAATTTAAACGAACTAATAAAAGTTTGATTACAAAATTACCCACTGTTGAATGAAATTTTACTATCAATTTGAGCGATTGCATTTGTTTTAGACATGTAAAATTACTCAATTTTGAATTGTTTCAGATTTATGATACGGGCAAATATCGAGTGATACAAGAATACCCTATTCAAATTAGCGAATTCGTGGGTTGCTTTAATGGGTAGTGAAATTCTTGGAAATCTCAGAGCATATTGATCAAATGAAATTTTTTGCCTTTGTTCAACATGTTGCCTTTTCTTTCGTTAATTGTAATTTACATTTTGAGTTATAATATTTTCAACATTTTGTTATTTACGTATTTCGATAGTTTATTTTTTGTTGTATTTGTTTAACTTAAAATCTCTTCCAAATTTTATTTGATATACTCAATTCGAAATTAATCGATTTATTATTGATAATAATTCGAATATTTTCAAATTAAATGTATATTTCTATAAAATTTGAGAGAATTTTGAATGAATGTTATGCATATACCTTCTTGTGAACTCAATTAGGTCATTTTGCTTATTTATCAGTTCAGCAAGTCAACTGATTGTTTTCAGACTGATAAACAAATCCTAATTTTGACTTACTAATATACTGTTATGATAAGTTTGCTTAAATTTTATCACTAATTCACTATTAATATTCTTAAATTGCATCTAAGCCAATTGTTACAACAAAAGTTCTACCTCACTTTTCCGTTCCTGAAAATAACATTTTGTTTCCTAATTTTGCATTTGTATTTAAAAAACAAAAAGAAGACAAAAATTTTTGGATAAAAGTATGATAGGAAACAAAAAAAAAAAAATAAGAAATAAATGCTTTTTAATGATTTCTTTTCTTGTCATTCAAGCTGATCAATTAGAGTTTTAATGAAAAAATAAAATTTTAGTCTCGAAGAAATTTCAGAATATTTTATCGCCTCCATTATATTAAGCCAGGATGGATAGTGTTGTTAGGACTATTGTTAAAAGCTTTTTTGTATTATCATAATTCAATTCCTTTGATATCTATAGTGATAAATTTGAATAATGAAACATAGTTTAGTATCAAATTCTCGAAACGATGAACAGTAAAAACTTGAAAGCTTAAAAGTTAAAATTTCCAGTAGAATTCGAGTAACCATAAAATTACGTAAAATTCAAAATTTTTCATTTTTTTTTTTTTTTTTTTTGAAAAATTTCTTATCATTTGGATGTTATTTTCCTGTTTTAGCATCAGAAATTGTTCTCATCCATTCTGGTAAATATTGCATGGTCTTTCGATAATTTGAATATTTCAATTTATTCTTTCCATCTTAAGACGATCACTTCATTTATATATCAAAATTTTATTTTCATAAATTACTTCAAATGTATTCCTCACTGCCACTTTTATTTACTCAATTCATAAGTGAAAAATAATATTTCTAATGCTATCACTGCGAGAATCATTTCCTTTCCTACGAAATTTGCTTAAATTTATTTAAAATTATACACTAACAACCCTCTTCTTATACTCATTCAATTTTGTTTACTATTTTATTTCAGTACAACAAGTTTATTAGTAATTTCAATTTTTTATAATTTCATTCTTTGAGCATTAATAAGTTTTTTGAAATTTGCTAAACTGATTTAATTCATTATTATCTTTTCCATTCAATTAAATTTTAATAAAATGGAAAATTTTTTGATAAATTTTGTCCAAGTTTTATTACTATCTTCTAACTATCATATTTTTAAGTGTACTTATACATTTGTTCTATCTAAAAAGTTAGACAAACCTTTCAATCTAAAACTTTCAGGCTTCAATAATATCAGTAAAAATTTGTCTTCTCTTTGCTTAAACATCGCTTATCACTTCAAGTGATAACAAAATTAAAACTGAAATAGCAAATTTCATCGAAAAACTATCACATCAAATAATTATGGAATAATATTGCAATGATATTTCATCTTATCAATTATTTCCGTTTGCTCTTTCTACCTGTAGCAGAGATTTCAATCTTTGTTAAATTTCATCGAACAACAGCAGACTGCTTCGTATATAACAACGTTTCTCGGATAAAATACTCTTTGCCATTTAAAAAAAAAAAAAAACTTCAATTTACAAAAATTCATAATTTTATCATTTTTAAAATTTTATTTTAAATGACATATGTGTTCATTGCCACCTGAAATGTTCACATTGTTTTTCCTTTTTTGTTTTTTGTTTTCTTTTTTCTATTTATATGTTTACGTTGTATTTTGTCATCATATCATGCAAGCATTACTCGGCTTCCTTTGTTTGTTTTTCACAAAAAAAAATTTCCAATTTTCAAATCGAATTTTTAGCACAATTTTCTGTTCTTAGCTTCTTTGCATCTTTTACTTAACAATCATATTGACAAATTTTTAATATAAGAAAGTTGAATTATATAACATTAAAATTTGAAAATATTTTACAAAATTAAAGAAATGATTTGTTTTTCCATTGTTTAAAATTAAATAAAAATGTAAAACTGCTAATTTTTTTTTTTTTTACTTCAAAAGTTGACAAAATATTTAATTCATTGTAAATTATTACATTCATTAAAATTACATCTTACTGAAATTATAAATCAAATGTTAAAATAATCAGTGATAATTGCAATGGATATATGCAACAGGAACTGATCATTTTGATTAAATTCGATTAATCTATTAAAATGTTATGGAATTATCACAAGAAGTGAATTATCACTAAAACAATTTTTAGAGGATAAAAAGTGATTTATTTATCAAACTCAATTATTTATCAAATTTCTAAAAAATCAAAACTTATATCCAATTTTGAAAACATTGAAACAATTAATTATGAAAGCGCCAAATTAATCATCAGAAATGAATATTTAATAAACAAATGTTTGTCATTCAATGTCAGAAAGAAATGGACAGTATTGGTTTGCTTGAAAGTAATGTGAAAGAGATTAATAATAATAATTGAAGTGAAACGAAGCATGCAAAAATGGACAGTGGTCAAAGTGACTGTAGTTTTATAATTATTTCAATAACATATTTAATTAACAAAAATATTGACAGTTAAATTATTTTGATTTTTGAAAAGATAAAAAATATTATAGGAAAGAAAGAAGGATGAGAATTAAGGAAATGGAATAAGTGTGGATGATAACATTTGATAGTAAATGATTCCAAAAATACAATACAATTTGATATTTTTAGAAATGAAATTTAAACTTTTTTCTTGATATAAACAAAAACTTTTTTGCAAAATGTTATCATTGGATTAGTCTTAAATTTTCTGTTCGCTACTTGGTACAGATAACTTATCAGATTTTTCTTTTTTTAATGTAACATTTATTTATGAGAAATTTTAATAGAAATGTCACAGCTCTCAGTAACCGGTATATATGATCACCTTAACTCTCAGTAAAGTTGAATATTGGATGATCTATAAAATTAATAATGCAGAATTGCTTCTGACAATTTCCGGGTTGTTCCAATTCCAGCATAATAACCGTATTGTGATGTTTTAGATATGGTTTTGGTACGTAGAGAGTAATCTGAATTTAACAGTAAATGATCTAATGACAACAGAATTACTTTAAAAATTGTAATATAAATCATTACATGAAATCAATTACCTGAGGTCCAATACTTGGCCAATATCGGCCAATATTATGTCCATTAATGAATACCTGTCCTTTACCCCATTTACTTAGATTCAAGAAAGTATCGGCAAGATGATTTGCATAAAAATGTCCCATATATAAGCCTAATCCATTTTTATTTCTCTGAAATCCTTGCAGCACTTTAGCTAGCTACATGAAATTTAATCCAATAAACTTAAGTTTTTAGGATGAAAAATAGGATTTAAAAAAGAAAAAAAGATACGATAAAGAAGATAACCAAAGCGAAAAAATACATGCAAAACTTATTAAATTAATGATTGCGAACTCCTCCAAATGAATTGATAAATATAAATTAGTATAAGTCATAATAATTTCAAAATTTTTGAAATATCACTTAAACTTAGACAAAAATAAACATACACTAAAATAGTTCCATCTCGAAATTCGTTGAGCCATTGAAATTATTAATTTTGAGTGTAGGCCACATTGTATCCAATCATCGATTATTTGTCCATCAAGTGTTACATTTGTTAATATACCCTAAATATTAGGCTATTTTCTTGTGATAAACATCAAAACAATACTGATAATACTGATTAGAATAAAATTATCATTATTATGAATTATCGTTGTAATTATGAGCTGTAACAATGAACTTCATATAATTTAAATAACTTTTCTTCCTCTAAAACGTCATAGTTAGCTCAATAAACCAGAAGCGAACATTTATCACACTTCGAAAAGGTGAATTTCAATTAATTGATGAATTTTAATTGATTTTTTCAAATTTTACAAAGAAAAATGAAATACTTTGAAATCATTGATCGTTGGTATTGTTTGACGTCCTTGATTTTCTACTAATATTCCAAGTGTTGCACTTGCTCTTGCATCTTTTAAATATACCCAGTGTTTCCAATAACTATCAAATCTATTCACCAATATTCCCTGAAAATTTCTCTTGGATAAAAAATTTGAAATGTATTAACTTTGTTTTAATTCTAAAATTAAAATTAGACGAAATGAAGTTGTCTTGAAAATTAATTAATTTAATAATGATTACATTCACTTAATTGAGTAATGAAATAAGGTAATTAAATTAAAGTTCCTTTTGAAATATACCTGTAATTCATTATTAATAAACACATAGCTACGATCTTTCATTAACGGTATTGTAAGATTTGTTCCACCAAACTTTAGTGTCGTATAGTATATCACAAAACCTGTCAAAAATTTTTCGAAATTTAGATGTCAAATTTGATATCTTAATAATTTATTTATGATAGGAAAAGAAATGATGCAATTTGCAGTACATTTACGCGTTAAACATTTGAAAAAGCTAATTCAATTAATTTTAGGATTTAAAAAAAAGAAGTAATTTAAAAAAGAAATCTACCAAATGGATGATCGAGTTGTTCAAATGAAATTGGATACTTTGTTGCTTGACAATATTGACTCACTGTTACTAATTCCCAAAAATGTTTCCCTAGCGGTAAAATTTCTTTCAACTTTACACTACCATAACCAATTTTCCTGGAAAAGAACTGATTTTTATAATGAACAAAATGTCCTAATATAATTACTCGAAAAATAAGATATAATCACTTGAATCATAATACAATTACTTGAAAAAAAAAGAAAAAATATTGCATTGCTTTCTAAGATATTAAAATTATAATATATTTTATGATGAATTATGATAGAGAGAAACAATGTAACACAAAATTTTTAGCATTTCAAATTAAAAAATGAAAAAAAAATGTGCAAAATTTATTTTGAATTTTTATTTTGACAACAATATTCTAACTTCCTGCATTCAAAGTAATGAAATAACACATATTAACTATGTAAAAACCACATCTTTAACTCCTTCAATTTTAGAATTATATTATTTTTTTTTTTATAATTTTAAATTACTTACAAATTATCCCGTGGTATATCACCTGGTTTATGCGGCCAATCTGATTTACTCGCTAACCAATTTCTTATTGCCATATATTTTTGAGTTAAATCACCTGCCTCAGTTAGTGGAGCAGAATAATCGTAAGATGTTATTACCTATGTAATAAATATTTTCATTAATAGAACTATTCAATGAAAATTTGAAAACTTTTACAATTTGTTAATTGCTTGCAAAAAAAAAAGAAAATGAAGAATTGAGTAGATTCAGTTTAATGAATTAATAACGAATTTAATTTATTCTGAATAACAGATCAATCTGGAAAGTAGCATTAAACGGTATACGAATTATTCAATTCTAAGAAAATTGTTATAATTTATTTGCTGATCTGTTGGTATATTTAATGACTGTTATCGCTAAAGTAAATGGCAAAGAACAACGATCTTAAAATACGGAAGGTTTTTCATATGCGGAAGAATAACGGCCATCAAATACGGAAGGTTTTCATATGCGGAAGAATAACAGCCATCAAATACGGAAGGTTTTTCATATGCGGAAGAATAACGGCCATCAAATACGGAAGGTTTTCATATGCGGAAGAATAACGGTCATCAAATATGGAAGGTTTTCATATGCGGAAGAATAACGGCCATCAAATACGGAAGGTTTTTCATATACGGAAGAATAACAGTCATTAAATACGGAAGGATCTTTCGCAATTTCTAAAAGTTCTGTACACAGATTTACTTTGCAGTAACAGTTTTTGGTTTTGAAATCTTACCGGTGCGGTAATTTCAGCTCCATTCCAATAACCGAAATTGGTGCCACCATGGAACATATAAAAATTAATACTTGCACCAAGTTGATACATATAATCAGCCGTATCAATGATTTCTGTTATTGATGGTAACTTTTCACTCTTTTGACCCCAAATAACCAACCATCCGGGATAAAATTCGGAGTTCACCAATGGTCCTATTCATTAATTTATTTCAAAACTTAGCAAAATTTTTTCAGAAAGATTAAAAGGTTTTAATTGAATTTTTATATGACTGTTATAAAAAAGCAGTGCTCTAAAAATCACAAAAATTACATTAAGCACATTGCATTTTAAACTTTTCGATAGATCTCAGTGCTTCATTAATTGAGCTCTACTATCTTTTCAGTTATTGATTGATTACAAATGCACAATCAATCAATCTAAACTTTTATGTATGGATGAATAAAGAAGTCTAATGAGATAGGAAAATCAATCGATCAGTTCATTCTCAATAAGTATAGAAATTTTAAATTAGACATTCAATTTTCTGATAGATCAATGAATCCAATAAAAAATCTCAATGACATATTTTAAATGAAACGAATAAACCATGCGGTGCATAATGTCGTTGCATTGCAAAATATGCCTGAACATTTTGTCGAGTTGTTGGACCAAAATCGATTGTTGGATAAACACCTGCTAGTGTGCCACATTTCAGGTAAGACTCTGCTGATCCATCAGCTATAAATAATTGTAGAAAGTTGACATTGATGGATATTAGAGAGTGACAGTCCTTCCTAACTTTATAACAATAAAATCACTCAGTAAGAAGTTGTATTTTTGAACTTAAACTTCGCTTTCTTACTTTTACAATTTATAAAGTTAACTTTCATACTGCAGATGAAATAACTTTGACTGATTGCAGTAATGGTTTTGCTTAGTGCTCCCTGTTATTTAAATTCATACTTTGGAATATTTCTGCACTTTTTTTGGATTTTAATCTTTGAAGAGAAAATAACAATTATTTTAATTGTTTGCTAATAAAAATTAGAATTAACTAGAAATTTTTTTAGTAATATTTTTAACATTCCAATGTGATTTTGATAATTGTGTTCCACATACATATATATATATTTTTTAGTTTCAGAGAATTAAAAAATAGGTAGTTTAATTAAACTATCAAAAAATTGGGAATTTTATTCAATAAGAAGTGAACACAAATAATTGTCGAATAATTTTAGCACTTTCTTTAAAAAAAAAATAGCTTTATTTATTGATAATTTGCAAAATAATGAGATCGAATTAGTTTGAGGGGTTTTTACGATTGAAATTAACCGTCAAAAGAATTTGATTGCATTCGATTTAGAGCTATGAGCAATAAATTTATCTCAAATATCCATAACTGGACTCAGTGCTTCTCGGTTTTCTAAGTTTTAAACTTTATCAGCTAGAAAAACTGATAAAGATCTTCAGCAATTCACTTAGAGCTAAAATTTCTTAAACATCAACGCAAAATCATTTTGATATATTTCCTGTGATAGCTAAAAGAAAGAATGGAAATTGAAATGAATAAAATTATTGATATCTAAAAAGTTTGATTTGCAGTTGTAATTTTCAAGAAGTTTTAATTAGAGGAGAAAAAGGCATTGTGAATTCTGAATAATAGTTCTGGATGTATTTTAAATTTTAAGACTTTCTTATCTAAACTTCTTGAAAATTTCAAATTCAATAAAGTAATAAGGTTATGATGTAAAATTGTAAATGCGATATTTTCTTAATTAATAAATTCTAGAACCTACTGGTATATTGGATGACATCTGGCCCAAGATGATATCGAACTATTTCACTCAATCGTTTCAGGTAAATCTGATCGCATGCATAATGACTACCATATTCGTTTTCCAGTTGTACCATCAGTATTGGACCACCATTTTTAAGCAAATAAGGATTCAGTATAGGTAACAAAACATTGAACCAAAGTTCCACTTCTTTTAGGAATCTGATTTTATTAGTTTTATAGTTAGATAAAATACAAAAATGGAATAAATTGTTTTGGTAATTTTTTTTTTTTTTTTTGTTTTACTTTTAATAAATAATAAACCCTAATTTTGCTGGGAGTTTTTCATTTCATTTCTCTTTTTTGCTAATGCATTTATTATCAATTCAATGTATAAAAATGTATCATTGATTGATTACAAAAATGCACTATGTATGCAATTAATAAGGCACCTCCCAGAGATCAAACTAAATTTCTGTGAATTTTTCCGAAGATTTTGTTTTTGCACCGTTTGTCGGATGTTCTTTGATGGATATTTCCGTATTTATGAATAAGCCACCATGGGAGACCACCATTTTCCCATTCAGCACAAATATATGGACCAATCCTAAAGTAAGAAATTTATACAAAGGCAGCCCAGTAATAAGGAGGAATTCGAAAATAATGAATACTACCCGAAATATACCTGAATAAAGAATGAAATTACTTCAACAAAAGTAAGAGACATAGACACTAAGTAAGATAACTTTAGATCAATTAATACTAGAAATGTTATAAAGTAATAAATATGATAAAAATAATTTTTACCTTGCAAGGACGAAAAGTTGATTAGATGCAGCAAGTTCAATAAAACGTGTTATATTGCGTTTTCCATTAAACAGGTATCTATATTAGTTTTAATTTAAATTTTTTTTTTTTTTCATATAAAGTAAAAGCTTAAATGAATTTCTTTTTTAATTAAATATTATACAAAATAGTTTAAATATTTAAACAATTTCCTAATTACCATGCAGTTGTATTAATTCACAAGGTGACAAAGATGTGACATTTTTGCTTATATGATATAATATTATTATTTTTAATTATTTGATCGTAATCAAACAGCAAACCTTCCATTATAAACTTCATGAAAATTCCACGGAATGTACAATTGTATTGCATTTAAGCCTGCAGCACGAATTCGACGCAATCGATCAGCCCAGTAATAAGGAGGAATTCGAAAATAATGAATACTACCCGAAATATACCTGAATAAAGAATTAAATTACCTTAACAAATAAGGAAAGTAAGAGAACTAAAAGATGATAATATGATAGTAGAGACTTATTGAATTGATATGCATCATTCAGCAGTCAATTTTTGATGGAATGTAAATGTATTCCTTAATAGAAGAAAATTGATGGTACAAAAATTATTGGAAGAAATGAATGAAAAAAAAAAAAAAAAGAAATATTTCATTAAATTGTTTAGTACTATTTTTTCAGTAATTATTTTCTTCAGTAAAAATATATTATACCAAAAGAAAGGAAAATAAATTTGATGTATTTTTATTAAATTAATTTAAAAAAAAAAAAAAAAAATTATAATTTTAATAGAATTTTTACCTAAATGGTTTACCATTTAGCAGAAATGTATCATTTTGATAGTCAATAGCAAATGATGAATGCGATGAATTTGCTAAATGTGAAAAAATTTTTTGACAAATGAAAATATATTGCAAAATTGCAGCAAATCGTTTCATGAGATCGTTTTCTTCTTTTTTTCTGTTAACCTGAAATTTGCATATTTCAAGAATGAATTTTATTAGCTCATTTTTAAATATGATTTTAAAAAATTTTTTACAATGTTAAAATGAATATTAAGTAAAGCAAATTTATGGAATAAATTATAAAATCCATTAATAGATACAGGTGTGGAATTCCTCTACCATTAATCATTACAATACGAATCTTTATCATTGATAACGGTGATTATCTCCATACTTCTCTTAATAAAACCGGTTCTTTGCATTCAATAAATTTTGCTAAATTTGGTGGGGATAAATCTCGTTTCATTGCGCAGCAAATTTAACAATTTTGAAATAGTTTAACTTAACTATTTTGCTGGCAAACTTTCACGGAATTATATTTTATCAGTAATTTAAATAATGTTTTTGATTTTCTTCTGGATGTAAACACTTTTAAAAAAGGATTTTTTTAAAAAAAAAAAAGAAACAAAATAACCGGTGATATACATCTTATTTATTTACTTATTTTGAATATATCCTAACATATTCACATATTGCCAACAAAAGTAAATAAATCTCAAATATCAACAATTTTCTAATTTTAAATAAAGTTGTATTATTTATTGTTTGTTAATTTTTAAGCTAACAATGAGAAAACTTATTAGCTTTTACAGAAAATAGTTAACACATACCTAAAAATTATTCTCATATTTTTTTCATCGAAAATTTTATCATTGAAAATTATAAGTGTTAGCAAAAAAATTTAACAAAAACTTTTTGACAATAACTTGCGCATTCTTATTGCATATGCCTGATATTTCACTAATTAATATTTTGTTTTCAAGTTTAATTTTGATTTATTTTAAAGAAATAAATGTTGAAATTTTTATTTTTTGCACCTCTAAATTCGATATTTATTTCATTATTTGATGAAATGAAAAAAAAAAAAAAATGAAAAAGATTGGAAATAAGTTTAAGGAATTGGAAGAAATTTATGATTTTAAGATGTTTAAAAGGTAAATCAAGAAAATTCTATAGAAATTATAGCAAGAAATCAAATTTTAAGAAAAAAAGAATGAATCTTCAAACTTAACATTAAAATATGCAAAACTTAATTTCGCGAAAAATTCTTTTGAATAAAATTAACGAGTTAAAAAAAAATAACATAGAAACTAATTTAAAAAAAAAAAAAGAAACCGCTGGAACAATCAATCAAGATTCCGTTCATAGTTGCTTTTTTCATTCCTCTAATTCTTCCCCAACAAATGTAAATTTAAAAGAGAATTGTTTTTGAATAGAAACAAATCCAAATAATATTTCGTTTAATTATATAGCAAAGATCAAAGAAAAAAAATTGTGCTATAGAAATGGAAACAATGAATTTTCTTCCATATTTATTGCTTTTTTGTTTAGTAAAAACAAAGTATTTTGAAGTTTTGTTTAGTAAAAGCAAAGCATTTTGAAAATTTATTTTTCATATTTGTCATTTATTCATTGCTACTATTCAATAAGAAATTAATTTGAATGAATGATACCTGTAGCTTAAGTCATTAAGTCTTGAGCTTAAGTCAGAAATGATACTTAATTAGGAAACCATATTAACAATCGATTTTTTCTTCATATTTATTGCTTCTTTTTAAAATAAATTACGTGACAGGAAAAAAAAAGCCGATGATGAATTAGTGGATGGAAATTGAAAATTAAGTTAATTGAGAAATAATTAAAGAAAACGAATTTACAAATCTTGAAAAGATTTCAAACTTTTTCAAATTTATCTTTTTATTCCAATCCTTTCTTTGATAATAAACAGCATTCATCATTCTAAACAATTTTTCCATCAATTTTAGCTTCTTTCATCATTTTTCAATTTTTTTTTTTTTTTTTTTTTTTAAGAAAGAAACAGCAAATTAGTGCTAAAATTGGTGTAAAAAGTTTCTAAAGCTTAATTTTATGTATAGCTATGTAATTAGATAATGCGACATAGTTTTTTCGGTACAAAACTACTTGAAATGACTACTTGGTACGTCAAAAATTACTACGTGGTACGTCAAAAATTACTACGTGATACGTCAAAAAATTGATCATCTTCATTAACATATCATCCTGAAGTAAATTAAAGTGACTTGAAATAAAATTGAGAATTTTGTTCGTGTGACAAAAAAAATTATGCACCACAAAGGATAATCTTGTTTTGTTGTTGTATGGTACAACACCACAAAGGTTAAAATTCAGCTAAATCAATTTTAAACAAATAACTAGTGACAATAACTAGTTTATTAATTTATACAATATCTAGCCTATTAATTTATACAATATCTGGCCTATTAATTTATACAATATCTGGCCTATTAATTTATGCAATATCTGGCCTATTAATTTTTTTGTCACAAACAGAAGTCTAATGCTTAAAGTTTGGGTAATACTATCAGGAAATTCTTTAGAATTCTCTAACTAGCCAAGTTACCAAAATGGCTAGGTTAAAATTAAATCAGTATTTATGAGAAATTTTAGTTGAATCATTATAAAGGAATTAGGGCAGTTCATGACTTGCATGATGAGCATTAGGAATCATTTGCATGCCAGCATGAGGCAATCAGCATGCAGATAAATGCATGCTAGCATGAGGCATCAGCATGCAAATGAATGCATACCAGCGAATATTGAGTTGAAATGTAAACAACCGTAAGCAAGCAGAAGAATGGATGAATTGGGCGGCACAGACAATAATTTCTCTCCGTTCCTCTCTCTTATACCACATTTTTCTTTCTTTTTTTTTTTTTTGATTTAAACAATTTAATTTTTTATGTAAACAATAGACGCTGAGCAATTTTTTATCTTTTAATTTTTATCAGAAATAATAAACAATTGATTTAATTACAATTGTTTCAATTTTCACAATCATCTGTGGATGTTAATGATAAACTAGTTAGTAATTCAATTCTGATCCACGACATCTAAAAAGTCAATTACCAGATATTACCAATCAATAATTTAATTATAATTAATTTTTTAGTGATTAAATAATTATAATTAATTGTTTTATTGATTTTATTAACAAGTTTATTCATTTTAGCAAGAAACGATTCAGAACAATAGCAATCTGCTCCTTTTTTTTTTTTTTTTAATGGAAATCTTTTAAGGAATAATTTTATAAAATTAAATGCTCAGTAAATTATGCCTATTGTTCAGTTAGTCAATCTCCTTGCACTATTTATAATTCAAAAATATTTTGTTACATTTTATTTTCATTCATTTAAATTCCATTTGAAAGCAATCAATATTTTATGTAAAATATATACAGCAATTTTAATCGTTAAACATAATATATGATACAAACAATAAAAAAAAAGATCAACAAAGATTCAAAACTTTTTTTTAATTTTGTTAATTATAGTTATGAATTGTTTCGCAAATGAAAACAATGAATACATTTTAGATTTTCTTTTAAATTGTTAAAAAAAAAAAAAAAATGAGATTGTTGATCTAAAATGCTATCAATTAGATCTAAAAAACAAATTTTAAGGTAATACAATTGGACAACTACAGCATTTATTATATACATAACAAAATAAATTAAAATTTCAACCGTTAAATTTGCGAAAGAACTCGTTATTACAATTTCTGTTTATTTATCAATGCTAAAAAATCAAAGTGATAAATTGATAATATTTGCATAAATTTTCCATAATTTTGCTACTAAAAAATTAGAAAAAAAATTTGAATCTTCAAAATTATCAGAAAGAATTAGGTTATGAAATGACATAAATATTCGATAATAATTTATAATTGCGTAACATTCTTTTTTCTTTTTCTTAAATAATTAACACTTTTTTGATTTGTTCTTTTTCAGCTACTGCAACCTGAAAATAAACTTTATAAGTAATGTACTGAAACTAAAAGTTAATTAAAGTAACAACATCCAATAATCATTTTTTTTTTTTGCATTCAATACAATTAAATTTAAATTAAAACATCTCATCTTCTTCTCTTGGAATTTTACAGTCTAATTATCCGCCTAATTTGCTATTTGCTCATTTTGGCAATTGTTCATTTTTTGAATTAAATTTTTCAAAATTTATGGACATCCTTATAAAATGAGCATGGATAAGGTATGACTTATGCCTGATGATAATTTTAAATGATTGATTCAAATTAAACCTGATTCCTTGGCTTAATATAAAAAGCATAAATAAGGGGTAGTAATGAAAGTAATGAAAGTTTAGACAGCGTAGAAATGTTGAAAATATCCGACCAACTATGAAATTCCGATAAAATATGGCCAGCTTGTACACAAATATAATTATATGGTGCTAATCCTGCAAGAAATTAAAATTGGAAATGAATAAATTAAAATAAGATACAGTGATCAAATTCAATTGTTAAAACTTTGTTGCGAATAGGACTACAAAAAATAATTCATATTAGCACAATATGCATTAATGACGTAAACAAAGTAATGTCAAAGTTAGAATTCATTTACTTGAAATCGAAAAAAAAATTGAATTAAGTATGTCAGTTTAAGATTATATACAAAATCAAATTTGTGTTTTCAATTCAATCATTTAACATTCAAAATTCAGATTAAATTTAAATTTCTTTTTTAAAATTCATCATAAAATAGGAAAAAAATTCAGTTTTTTTTTAATGAAATTTGAATTAATTTCAAATTATTTTCCATTACCAATAAAAGTAGTCAATGCAAAAATGAAAATGGGAATATTAAGAAATGGTGCAATAATATTGAGTAGCCAACTTGGTGAAATTGGAAACATACGGGCAAATAATAAGAATGCCAATAAGCGATGCGAATTATTGTTTACCTATAAATGAAAATGAAAATTAAAGAGAAAAAAAAAAATAAATAAGATTTGAAATTTTAATTAATTTCAAATTTTTAAAAGTAAAAGAGTACAGTTATTTTTTTTAAAAAAAAAAAAGATGCTAATAGAGAATTAAATTAAAAAGTTAAGAAATTATTAGCAAACCTTTTGTTGTAAATAAATAATATGATGGCCTAAATAATAACAGACATATTCACTAGCAAAAGTTTCTGAAAAAAGATAGCATAATGTTGAGCCAATTGTTGTCAAAATGCATACCAATAAAAAGCCAAACCAAACATCAAATAATACGCCAGCTATTAAATTCTTAAAATTTAATTAATTAGCAAAAAAAAAAGAAAAACATTTCATTAAATGATATTTTAATTTCATCACTTTCTTCATCATAATTTTTCAACATTATTCTACACTTCGTTTTTTTCTTTTTGTTACAAATAAATGATATGACAAAATTAATTTTTTTATTTTTTATTCCAAATTTTTTTTTTTTTTTATTTCATTTTTTTATTTTAACAATTTTATCCATTGCTATACATACATAAATAATTTGAAATGTTAACTAACTAAAATGAATGATCCTGGAATGGCAAATGTTTGTTTATAAATGTAGGCAAAAATAAACAATGTAATAATATAGCTGAAATGTTGATCTTTGTAAGCATAGAATAATTTAGCTGTAGCAGTGAAGTTTGCTAAATTATTTGGCAAATTCCATGGTGGCTTCCAATTTATGATAACTAAAATATATCATTAAACTTTTAAATTAATACAAATATTGAAAAAAAATTCTCTAAAGCTATTAAAAATTATCGATAGCAAAACTATAAGCTTTTCAATAATATTATCTAAATTTAAATATAGTTTTTTTTTTTTGTCTTAATTATTGTTGGAATTTTAAAAAGATATCGTTTATTTATAAGTTAAAAAATATTAATGATAAATTGAATTTTTCAGTGATAATCAAGAAAACGAATAATAGGTGTGAAAAAAGGAAATTTGCTCTCTTTTGGCTTAAATTAATTAGCTACTGCTTAATTAGCTACTGTTAATATTTAGCATCGAAAATTATGACAATAAAATGTAATAATACTGGTAAATTATTATAAAAAATAAATGAAAAAATTATGCTACAATTACTTTGCATACTTTTCCATAGTATATAATGCATAAAAATTAGGATTAGTTTGAAATATCAATTTGAATTATTAAATTTTTAAGAATATCTCCTTCTTGTAAACTACGAGATAATCTTGAAATTGGTGTAAAAAAGAAAAATGCAAATAATTTAAATTTGAAAAATGATAAACTTGATCAATAATTAAATTAAAATACAAGAAAAAAAAATACCAGAAGACGTGGAATTGGGATGAGTAGGTGCAGAGCAAATAAGAATCCATAAAATGATAGATGAGAAAGTAAAAATTGCTGGTAATATGATAAGTCGAGCAATCATAATGCTATTTCAATGCTGATAATTATTTAAAAATCTCTTGGAATTATCTTGCAAGGTTACTGTTACTTGAATATGCAGTCGAGAACGACGTACATTTTCATTTCAATGCCTCACGTGAGGACAAACTTCGAAAAATGCACCTGAAATAAAATTAAAAGTGTAAATATAAAAAGCTGTAATAATAGTTATAATTTAAACGTCATGAAAATGAAATATAAATAAAATCAATAAGATTATCATAAGTTTATCAATGATTTTTTTTTAAATTTGAATTAATTTGAATTCGGCAATAATTTCAATTCCGATAAAAATAATATAAACAATGAGTTGAAGAGTTGATGAACTAGTAAATGGATTGTGATGAAAATTATGTTAACTTAAATGCATTATAGTGGAATTTCACTATTACTAATAATGAAATCTTGGATAAAATGAGTTACCAGAATATATCACAGCTATTATCATTGTGATAACAGGAAAAACTTTCCGGTAATTTAAATTTTCAGGATTAGTTCGCTGAAAAAATCAAAAATATTTCTTGTATTTGCACCCAAGGATTGAATAAAAAGAGAGAAGAAAAATAAATCAATCAAAATAATCGATAATTCAACTTACTAGCTTATCAGTTCGAATTCAATATTATAAGCTGTTAAGAAATTGATTGAGATGTTATCAGTAAGATATCAATGGTAAAGAAAAAAAGGAAAAAAAGAAGTGATTAACTAGTAATGTATAAAAAAAAAAAAACAAAAAAGAAAGAAATTATCAGTTAAAAATTGCAATAAAATTTTTTCATCCAACGCTTACTAAAAGCTTATCAATTAATTATAATCAATAATTGTTTGCAATGACTTTAAAATGATAAAAAAAAGTGTGGCAAATGTGTGATAAAGTATTTTGATCTAAATTCATAATTTCATTAATTTCAAAAAAAAAAACAATCTAAAATTAATACATTGCACTTAACACAACCAATGAAATTCAATATCAAAAAAAAAAAAGAAAATATCAAATCAATAAAAGATAAAAAAATTCTTTAGAGATAATTATATTCTTTGTTAGGATGGATTTCATAGTTTTTATTCTAGAAAGTAATCACTGTTAACTATGCCACGTACGTGCGACATATTAGTTACGTGATATGGTGACATCACGTAATAAATCGTTCCTACTTATTTATTAATTTCATATAACTTTTGACTGAATACTCCAAAGTATAAACTATAAGTCAAATACGGATGTTGTAGCTGACATTGTAAAATATCGAAAGTTATTTATCAAAAAATTGGAATTGAAATAGGATATGAATTGGTATTATTTTTATTCTTGACAAAGTCTTTTTTTTTTAAGTTTAGTAAACAAAAAGTTAAAATCTATTAGCTAAAGCCAAATTTTATTTTTTCTGCATTTATAGAACGAATTACTGTGAAATGATTTTTTTCAGTGCTTTGTTTTTAAATTAAAATAATCCTAACTTATCTTAACCTAAATATCTTTACTATTAAAAGAATAAAATGAAACTATTAAAAAGAAGAATATTTCGAATTCAATCTTCTTATTAAGATAGAAAGAGAAGAAATTTGATATAAATCCAAGTAATAGAGCAAAATATGAATTAATTAACCTTGGAAAAATGATTCCAGGAAGTATTCCAATGAAACCTGTTCAGTGTTAAAGATAAGCAATGATAATTAGTTGAATTTTAATAATGATAAAGAGAATGAAGTGTAAATTAATCAAAGAAAAGGTATCCAATATTTACGACATCGGAATGGTAATTAAATTATTAATTTCAAATTATTGATTTAAATTATTGATTCTTAATAATTTCAAAATTTCGTGATTTATAACAAATTTATCAAAACGAGTTGATAACTTTGCTTTTTTAAAAAAAAAAAAATAATTATTACCAAAAAAGTGAAAAATTCAGGAGAAAAGTAATATAAATAAGGTAGCCGAGTAATAACAGTTCAGAAACCTGATCCGGTATTCCGAGTAAACTATGAGGAATGTAATATCGCAGTTATGGCTTTTATACACCTCCCTCATTTACTGTTCATTTGACATTTCATCGCTATTAACTTTTTAGTAAACTTTAAAACACTAAACTGAATATCGATTGGATAAAGTAAGTAAACAAGTTCAATCAAAATGAAAGTAATGAAGAGAATGAGGACAGGATAAATCAATGATTTTATAAATAAGAAATATCAAATAAATTCACAATGATAATTAATGATAAACAAAGATGGTAATTAATTTTTAATCTTTCATCTCTTCAGAAAAAGTTTTAAAAAATTTTATAAAATTTACATAATATAAAAAAATTTACATAATAAAATTGCAAACATTCATCAAACAACAGTGCACTTTCTGTTCCTCTCAATTCTCAAATTACTCAGAAAAGCTGAAAAGGCATTTTACTTTAACTTTACTTTAACTTATCACGGAGTAACAATCAGTGTGAAATATTTTTCAACTGTATGATGAAAAGTATGCATCTATGCATAATAATTTAGTTTTGCGGAAGTAGAGGCACACGTATGCACCACACGCACGCACACGTATACACTTATATACTTACGCAAGGAATCCTTCGTGAAAAATAACAGTTTGGAGCTGAAAAAATCTTCTAAATTTGAAACTTTTTGCCAAATTTTCCCCAATTTTGTAATGCGATCAGTGATACTTTAGCAGACTTAATCTCCGATTCCATCTCAGAAATAAATAAATCAAATTTTTTTCAGATTATAAAAAAAAAAAATTCGCTAAATTTTATGGATTTCTCGAAACTCTCTCAACTTTTCATCTATGGAATTCAAAATTTTATTTCCCAATTTAAAATTTTCCAATTTTTTTATTTTTTTTTTTTTTTTTTTTAAATTTAAAAAACAAAAAGAGATGTAAGTGAGGGGTACAAAATATTTTTCTCACTAATCTTCAGCAAATCTTAGAAAATTGAAAAACAACAATTTCAGTTCTTAATGTTTTGATCCCACTAATTTATCAAATTTAGATTTTGGAAACCCATAAAACAATGGGCGAAATAAATTTTATTTAGGAGCTGCTTAATTTTGATACATATATGTATACCTTCGTGAGTTCATAGATAGATCTACGATATAGGTCATCCTCAGATCATTTGTTGACATCGTAGGCACAGCATGTTGAAATTCGAGATGACATACCACCGTAAATATACCACCTTAAAACCACCTCAACCCCTTATTAATCAAATAGTAATTAACTATCTCGTGAGAAAGAGATTAATTTGATTTTGCTACATGGAAAAGTTCAAAAAAAAAAAACAAAAATAAACACCGAAGCTATGAGTGCAAAATAAATAACTTCCAAAAATTACTTCGGTTGTTGGTAAATTGAATTATCAATACATAGGTATTTAATTACCTGTGCATCATTTTAATCATTCAATTCATATTTGAAAAAAAAATTTTTTTTTTTATTTGAAACTTTTAAGAAAGTATAAATTATAAAAAATTTTATGTTCTAATTGGAATAAATGAATGAAAAAGGTGTTTAAAATGTTTAAAAATTTTAGCAAAAATAGATGGTATTATATTATATATAATATAAAACTAATTCATAAAAAATTTTAAAATTTAAAAACATTTGGATTTTTAATTTATGTTAGTTAGAAAAGCGTTAAAAATATAAGCAAAGCACATAATTTTGTGATTATTTCAAATGATAAAATTGTATTTTTGTTTTAGCAAATTTTTTTTTTTTTTTTTTTTTTTTCATTATATTTACTGAAATAAAAATCTTTGGAGAAAGTTTAAAAAATATGAAATATATATTTTCGATATTGTTTATATTGCTCTGTTTTTAACATACAAATGAATCATTGAAATTTTTAATCATCAATGAAACAATCATGTTGACAATTCAATTTTTCAAATTCTTTTTTTTGAAATATTTGATGTGCAGATATTAGATGATTAAAGATCAGTGCTACAATAAATACTCGTCGTTTTCATCTAATGTGACAAAAAGCGCCCACAATTTAAATCCTTCTTCAATAGAACATATTTTATTTGTTTACAATTCAAGACAATAGAGCATATTTATTTGTTTACAATTGAAAAATAATGACAACAATAAAAATTATTATTACTACTACTATTGTTATTTATGTTTTTTTGTTAGAAAAAGAAAAATAAAATGAAAGTTAAAAGTTTGTAGGCTCTTTCATTTCTCCAATAACTTTTAATAAATTTAATAGCAAAAAAAAAAAAACTTTAGTTGATTTAGCTAAAGGTAATATATTCAGGTGAACTTTTTCACGAATCTAAAATTTAGCTAAACCAAAAGCTCGAATAACTCAGATGAAAATATGACAGAGATCAATTTAAGCACTCATCAATAAACCTATTTAAAAATCAATCAATATAATGAAAATTGCTACTTTGCATAATGAATTACTACTGCTTAACTTTTCTTAAATAATTTAGCATTAATTGAAATTTGTACTAATCTCATTGAACTCATCTTTCTGATTACTTTAACTGATTATTTTAAATGATTACTTTAACTGATTACTTTAACTGCAGCAATAGCATAAAGTAATTCCTGAATTCAGTCAAATAATGCTAGATATAAAACGTTTTGATACGCAATAAATCAATAAGATAAAAATTATAAAGTTTTTTTTTTTTTTTTTTTTCATGAAATTAATCTGAATTAATTACCAATAATATCAAATACAGTGATAGAAGAATCTAAAATTATATTACAATTGTTGTATGCATAATAAAAAGTTATTTCATTTCGATTATACGAAAATCATAATAAAAGAAGAAGAAAGAAGGAGAAAAATGATAAGAATAAATAGATTTATAAGTCTATTCTATGAACTTTCTACAATAGTTCTGTCCTATGAACTTTAAATAGATGTCAAAATGTCAACAAGAGATCAATGTCAAAGCGCAAGAATTGTGACAAATGATTATTGCGGTACTATTTGACATATTATTCGGTCAATTAAACAACATTTAAGTTTAGATTTATAAGTCTATTCTATGAGTTTAGAAGAATTGAAAAGATGAATAAATTTAGGAAATGGACAATACTATTCTTTTTGAAGAAAATATTTGACATTGATATAAAAATCGATATATCAATATAATGAAAAAGGGAATTTTTCAGCAAATGAATGAATGAATGATTTGTTGAAAAAAAAGAAAAGAAAATTTAATGAGAAAAAAATAATGCTATGAAAAAATAAAAAAAAAAAAAATTGCATATAGAAAAGGATAATTTTAAGTGTTGGAAATCATCGATTCGACCAATTATGATATTATCAAAATGAAGAATGGTCATTTAAAACTGAATTGATCAACAATTTCATGCAATAAAACTTTGAAGTAGCATTAGAATAAGAAGGAAAAGAGTAATAAGATATAAGAAGATAATATAACAATAATGATTCATATAATTTCAAAATTTTGAAAAGGAATAGAAATTTGTCATAATGTCTGTCTGATATATTGATTAAGTTGTGTCACTTTAGAGCTAAGCAACTTATTTTTATTCTTTCATACATACATTCGCTCATGATATTTGTTTAATTATATAAAATCTTTAATGGAAATAAATGATGAAAAGAAACAAGAATGAATGAATGAATGGAAAGGGATTGGACTTATGACACGATGACCTAATTTTCAATCCTTATTACAATCCATGCTTGCAAAATTTTAGATTTAAAAGTGAAAAGAATAGAAAATTTTTAGAAAAAAAAAGAAAATTAGAGAATAGAAAAAAATTAAAAATAGAAATTTTGATTGATATAAATCAAAAATTTGAAAATGAACAGAAAATTAGCAAATGTATGAAAGCTAAATGAATCGAAGTGCAACACAGCACTTTCTTAGGAAACTAAATTTTGTGGTATTAATTATCGATAGATTATTTCCACTTACTTTTATAATGCTAACCACTTTGTTTGAAGATTTCAGCTTCATAAAAAAAAATGTAAAACACGAAAAGATCATTGGTTTACATTTAATAAATCGAATTCAAAAAAAAAAATGATATTTTTTCATGTAATATTTCAAAATTTTAAAAATAATTATCTAAAAATTTAAAAAGGAAAGAAAGAAAAAATTTGGAATAAAAATTCTTTTTCAAAATAAAATATAATATAGAAAATTACAAAGAAATAATTTTAGTAAAAAATTTTGATTTTCATAAGCAAAATGATCCTTTGCAAGGCAAAATTAAGCCTTCTCATTTACTATTACGATGGAATTAAGAGTAAACAATACGTGTTCATGTCACGTTAGATACAGTTTAATGTTCGACGAAATTAATTAATTACCTAGATTACCTGCTTTACGTTCGATTCAAATGACGAACACAAGAATGAAAACTCTCGACATATTGAGTATTATTCAAGAATATCAATCTGAAAAAATGTAATGAAGAGGAAAAGAAAGGATAGAAGAATGATAGCAACACACATGCACACATACATACATGCACACGCATACACATACATACATGCACATACATGCACACGCATATACATACACGTACATACACGCACACGCATATGCATACACGTACATACACGCATACGCATACGCAATTCAGTTTGCAATGCCAATTGTACCTTTCATGTTCCCAACATTTTCAGGTATATACTATTTAATTATTAAATGCTAAAATGAAATATGTTTTCCTTGATTGAAGCTAATATCAAATTTTGTAAACCTTACGCATTTCCATACTTTCAAGAGTAAATTAGCTCTTTGCTCTCGAAATTATTTTTAGTAGATAATATTTTGGTTTTTTTTTTTTTTTTTTTTTTTTTTTTACACCTAAAATTTTAGAGAATATTTGGTATGCAAAGTAATAGCAGTTTTAGTATCATACATTTAGTTGATAGTATCATACAAGTTTGTAGTAAAAACTATTCTTTATCAAATTTATTATTTTTAGTTTTTTTTATGGAAATCAGTAAGTAAACCAAAAATTTCAACTACACGAATTTTAGTAAAATCCGAGAAATAGTAATTATACTTACGGAATTGTTATAACCAATTAAATTTAAAATGGTTTTTCAATTTTGTGACTGTCATCGTTGATGATAAGAATACACTGAAATGATGGTAATATGGTTGAAAATGATAGAATTGTTTTCTTTCTTCCTATTAAACCACAAATGAAAAAATAAATAATCTAGGATTCAATTCTTTGTAAATAAATGTATTTTCTAAATGGAAATTTTTATGAGTTTGAGATTAAAAAAAATTTAATATGATTTTAATTAAAAGACTTAAAACATTTATCAAATATACACCACATTCGTACAATCATTCAAGTATTCATATAATCATTTAATTATAATTACAAAGAAAAAAAAAATAAGTATTTTCACCCCAAAAAAAAATCTGTAATTTAGCAAAGATTTTCATTTTCATTGTCCGAAAATTTTTATTCACAATTGTATAAATGAAATAATAGAATATATTATAAATTCAAATTATCAAACTGTATCGGCACTCCTGATGAAAATTGCCCTGTTGACGAGCTTTTATCACGTTGACGCCTATTTTTGAACCAGTTTGAAATCTGAAAGTATTTTTTTTTTCAAATATTAGAAAGATTGTGATAAATTATCACTGATATTTTATAAAACTTTAATGATATAAGCAAAAAATAAAGATAAATAAATAAATAAATGAAAAAAAAAAAAAACAAAAAATTTACTTTTTCAAAATTTGCATAAGAAAGATTGAAAATTCACTTATAAATATTGCAATAAATTATAATATATTATAGAGCTCTAATAATTGTTTAGCATTTTTTATGTTAAATGGACTATCTTACTAACCTAAAAACAAAAAATTTTAGTATACCGCTGAAGCTATCATAATGTGTTGCCCTACGTCTCCTTAATCCAATTGCATTTCAATTTTCTTAATCAAGATTTTATTACGAACTAGCTTACTAGTAAAAAAAAAAGGTAAAGGAGGTTTTTAAAATTTTTAAAAATTTTATTGGCTTACTATTTTCCTTCTTAGATCTACCAGTTATAAAAATAAGAAATTAAACATATCCTAATTTTACCTGTATAATCTTTAGATCGGTAATTCGTGCTATTTCTTTTTTATCCTCAAGTGTAGGATATTTGTTTTTTCTATAGAACTGTCGAAGAATCTAAAAAAAGAAGAAAAAAAAAATGATTCAACAATATATAAATTAAAAGAAAAATTGATGTAAAAATAAACTTAAATTTGGAATTGAAATGCTACAATTATAGCGAATTGGATATTATCTGATGCATTTTTTTCTTGACTTAGTAGATCGGTTAACCATAACTTTCTAGCATTTTCCTTGAAACTGTAAATAGTTTCTTGTCCATCCCAGATGGACCGCGGTGGCGGATGTTTCTTTCGTAAGCGGTATTTCTCTACTGCGCCCAGCTCCTTTTGTCGTCGTTCTTCATTCTAAAAATAATCAGCAAATTCTTTTTTTTTTCTTTTCAAGAATTTTACTATTCAAGAAAACTGAAACGAAATAGAACCCTAATTTTTTTTTCGAAAGTTGAGGTGTCTATTAATCAATTTAATTTTAAGATGTGCTAATCAGGAAAGATATTTGATTGACTTCACTATTGCATGAAAAGTAATGATGTTTCATGAACTGTGAGCTAACTATTATCTTAGTTGTAGATAATGAAAAAACCGGAAATAAATTCCAGAAATCATTCTTCTTTTTCTTACTTTACTAATGACCTAATAACCTGAACGAGTCATTTTAGCATAGATTATTTCAGATCAATGATCAAAAATAAAAATTCTTTTACAGATATAATTGTATTGTAGAATACCTCAGCATAGCGCGCCTTATACCATAAATCTTGCAATTCATTATAAAATCGTTGTTCGAACGTATTTGACGCTATCGTCTAAAATTCGAATTCAATTACTAGAAAATGATAACACAAACATCTAACTTTGTAAATTACTTTCAGTTCATCCAGTATCGTAAATAAAGTAGTAGTTATACGGAAATTTACTCTTTCAGAAACTCTTTCAGGTAGTAATTACAGCAGTAATTGAAATTACAGGAAGCTATTAATACGAGAGTAATCAAAACAAACAGTCAAAATAAATATTAATGTAAAAAGTATAACATATAAATTAATATTACAAAAACGAAGATGTAAATAAGTAAATAAAGTGCTAAGATGTGTGATGAAAGGAAAAAGTGATAGATGAAAGGAAAACCTGAAATAATTCCTCATAACGTTTTCCGTAATAGAGTGCATAAAGATAAGCACGAAGTACGGAACTTGAATAGTACCGACACCGGTAAAACATAATATTATTTGCAATTGGTTCAAATAATTCTAATAATTTCGCACCATCACGTGCTTGATAGAGTGCTTCACAGATACAGTCTATCTAAAAAGTAATTTAAATTTAACAAATTATAAAGCTGGAATCAAATTTCACATTTTTAAATTTCATCTATGATGTAAAAGATTTTTATTGTGAGCAAAAGTTAGTTAAAAATTTTCAAATATCTTAGACTTTTAATATTTTTAAACTTTTCTTCTTTTTGTTGAAAAAAGCTCCAACAATATTCTGCTATTATTTTATTATTGTTATAATGTTTTTTATATAATTTATAAATTTCAATTTAATAGCTAAATTTTAGCAGTTAATTCAAAAAAAAAGAAGATTTTGATAGTGTGAATATTTGTTAATTTTTTAATTGAATTTTGAATAAACAATCCAAAATGATTTTTTTTTTTTTTATTTTTATGATAAATAAAAATTACCTGATCAGATGAAAAAGTAGCAGATAACCGAAATAAACATGGATCATTTTGTTCTACGTTTATATTTCCCATTATTTTTTTCATCCATTGATTTGAATATTGAATTAGAAATATTACTGCAAACGTTGATTACATAAATATGAATTCTTTTCCACCTTAATATATTACTACTTTTTATAATTAGCATAGAATTTAAACAAATATGTGATAAATGATTAAAGCTTATTTTAACATTTCGAACTGTGAAAAAATTTTTTAAAAATTACGAAAGTATTTGAAGTGGGAACCAAAAAAAAAAACACTAACTGTTAATTTTAATTCGAACTGTTTGATTTCTCCTTTTTTTTTAAAAAAAATTACTTGAAATTAGAGTTTACAAAAAAGAAAAAAAAAGTATGATAATATTTAGTAAAAAAAATAAAAAAGAATACAGCAAATAAGCATAAGAATTTGAGAAAAATGGAATGCATTCTCAGATTTTATTTTGGCGGAAATAAAATTCGACTAACTCCGCCTTCAGTTTACGGTATGTTTATAAAATGAACAAAAAAAAAAAAGGAACGATTGGAAAGATCTATTAAAAATAAAAGTCTAATAATTGAAGAAAAAATGAAAAATGGAACAAAAAAAAAAAAAAAATATATCGAAGTATTAATTAAGAATAAAATTTGAATAGAAAAATTAGATTTAAAAGAAAGTAAGATGTGGAAAAATGAAAAGGAGAAAAAAAAATTTTTTTTTTTTTTTTTTCATTTTATTTTAAGAAAGAAAAAGTAGAAATTTCATTCGATGATGAGCTGAATGACAATGACAAATTTTCTCTCATATCTGTGGAATTATAATTTAACAGCGCCTCCTGAACATTTGCATTAATTGGCTTTTTCTTTTTTGCCTTCCTAAAGATGGATCATTTTTCAAGAGTGAATGAATTACGGTAGTTACCTATTTGTTCCCATCCTGCAATATAATTATGAATATGTTACTACCAAATGCATTTCTATTATTAGACAGATATATATACGATGAAATATGAGCCTTTTTCTTTTTTTTTTTTTTTTCTTGAAAGATATATACAAATGTAGCTATAGAAACCTTTGTTATTAATTTATTGTTGAAATTATGAAAAAAAAAAAAAATAATAAAGAGAGAATGCTTTTGAGAGAATATTTTTATTGTTTAGATATGTGTGTATCTTATAAACAACATTCATATTTACTACTGTATTTAGTTAATTCTTTGTTTAAACTATTTCTGAAATCTTTTTTTTTACAAAGGTTAATTAACATTTAATTAATTACGAAATGATTTGAAGTATGTGTTTTTTTTTTTTTTTTTTTTAGATATTTGAGGCTTAAAAATTTGTTACTTATATTATCTTACAATATAAACAGATCATTGTAGCCAATATTTCAGTTTTTTGTGGGTGAAGTATTACTTCCTGGACTTTTAGCACCTACTTACCTCTGGTGCACCTGGTAATTAAATGCCATATAATGAGTACCATTTGTGTCTATCTTTTTGCTATCTTTCAATTTCAATACATTGTTTGCCATGTAGTTAATATATTAACAGAAATTAATTAGCCACAACAATGAAAATTGCTATGTTTAGGATGCCAAAACAATATTAATTAAATGTGTATTTAACTACTGTATGAACAGATATTATCAGGTTTCAGGAATAAACATGCATAACTAAATAGCCTTTTGCTTTCCCTCCTATATTTTCGACAAGAATCCAAAAATTTGCAAACAATTTAAGATCAGTTTGATTAGATCTGTAAAGTTGATTCGATATCATGAACTGATCTAGCATCCATAAATCATCTCCAATGTAACAAATTGTTTCATCATTTTATCACTTCTGACTTTTGTATGTTTCTTTTTTTCTTCCTTTAATTACTACTTCCATATTTAGCATAAAACATTTTAATTGCATATTGATTGATTTAATAGTATCACATGTAAATCATTCGTAATTGTAATTAATAAATTATTTTCTGAATGAGCAAATTTATTAAATTTCCAAGTTGCTCGAAATTTGAGAAAAAAAAAATCATTCATCAAATTGCTTATTGTTTGTACTAATTCGTTTACTCTTTTATATTTTATTGGTGGATTAATCACTGCAGTACAGCTATTGTTGTTCATTCTTAAAATCTTTCAAAATTTCCGCAATTTTTTCAGCAATTTCCTAAATTTCTTTGTATTTAGCCGAACTGTCATTATCACCTAATAATTTCATTGTTTGCTTCAGTTATTTCTTTTTAGCGATGTTTAACATTGGCTATTATTTTTCAACACTTACTCACTTCTTTCATTTTTTGGTAATATGAAAAGAAGACCGAAGTTTACTCAAGAGATTATGCAAGTCGACAAGCGATTAACGCTATTTTGTAAGGTAATGGTAGTCAGTTGTTATTCCACGATAATTACTGGATTTTATTTGGCCATTTTTATAATGTTATATGATTATGGTATTCGATAAATATCACATCGATCGATTATTACTTTTCGAGAGTGAAGATTTCTCGAAATAGTCTTATTTCTAAGAAGTTCAACCAGATGTATGATTTCACACTTTATCGTAGCATAAACAAAGCAAGATTCAGAAATTCTCTCAAACTGATGTCTCTTTTTTAAAAAATTAATATTCAATAGACAATAAATCTGTTAGTAAGAAAATATTTGCTTCTAATCAAATGAATTAAATAATAGTTCAAAATTAAACAAAATAACAGTCATATCTTTTTACGTGTGATCACTTATTGATGAAATTCATGTCTGAAATTTGCATAATTTGATACAAGCAAGATCAAGTATTTGTGATCATCATACAAAAATTTGATATTAATAACACAAAATAAGTATAAATTAAAGTGATCACTTAATGAAGTGAAAAGATAGCGCTAGTTTAATGATTACGAATAGATCATTCCTATAATTTATGTTAACATCTAATTGTTCATCAGTAAATTGATTTCATTTTTCTTTGAAATTAAATTAATTGGAATAGTTTGACATTTCAGGCTTTCTTTTCATTTCACAATTTAACTTTTATCTTTTATCAATCTAACTTTCCATTTGTGAGCTAAGTTCCTATCGATAATTTTCATTTTACTCTTTTTATGTATAATAGCAAAAAAAAAAAACTTATTAAAATTGTTAAAAAAAAATTCCTTTAAATGTATTTATCAGTTCATATGCATTAAAATATATTTTATTATAATGTATGCCATAATAATTATACAAAGAAAAAAGATTTCAACGTCAAAAGCTATTTCAACGGCTTATCTAACAAAAGGTGCGATTTTCATGGATAATTTGTTGTTTCGGTTAATTTGCATTTCAGATGACCGATTCCAAAAGTCAACAGATGCATGGTTGGTTCACTTGAGAAATGAGATAATCGTCCTAAGGATATGCGAGGCATATAAACCCACCTTTAAATGATGATTATGTTCGGGAATAGCGAGAAAGGGAGGCAGGGAGAGAGGGAGATAAAAAGAGAGGGATGATAATTAGCTATGACCTTATCTTCCTTCTTCTAACAAGGATTTACAGAATAGTCGCTTTTTGTTATTTAGAAAATAAAAAAGAATATTTAGATAATAACAGCAATTTTCATATCTTCTCATTAGTTGTGATAAGTAAAGAGCACATTCTAATAATCTTAAAATCTGACAAAATGAATTCCTGTAAGAGGAACTAAGGATTAGCACTAGCAGGTGGTGAATAAAGTAATGTTCAATTTTTGAGGTAAAGCAATTATTTTGACGCTGCTAATATAAAGCGAGCAACATATGATGGAATTTTAAAGAGATAATTTGCGAAAATAAACCTTCGATCTCTTTAATCGAAGTTATCATGAAGGGATAAATTAGAAATGCTATGAATTATTTTAAACACAAAGACAAAAAAGTAAATAAAACAATCAGAGATGTTTAACGACTATGGGAATTACCCTAGAAATATTACTTCCTTTTGCTATATGATTCTTTGCATTTCGAATGACTGTTGGAGTAATGTATTTTAATTCATCCAAAATCAAAATAACTTTTATTAACTCTAAAAGAAGCGGAACTGCTTGCTTTTTATCACAATATCTTGAAAAGAAGAGGTATTAGAAAAGATAAAATTTTACTTCACTTTCAGACTTAAATATTCAAATAATAAGCAGAAATTTCCAAAACGGAAATCTTTGTACTTCTTAAAATCATTTTTAAAATAGCATTAATAGAAAATCTCAAATTATCAAAATGTGTCAGTTCATGACCAAAATTGCTAATGCAAGAAATCAAGCTCTCATTGCTTTCGAATAACGAAAAACAAAAATTGATTTTAAATTGAGCTGTTTTCCTTCTCGAATACTATACGAATCATTTCTCAAATATTTTTATTTTTCCGTTTTTCAATCCGAGGATTATTTTGAATAAAATTTCAATTGCATAAATATTTTTTTTCAATATGGTTTGTTTTTTACAGTTGACCTATTGGAATGCTCTACAAAACAAACAATTTGTTAAAAGAAAGTTCACATTTCAAATAAAATCTTCAACATTGTCATTGTACTTGGTTGATAATAAAGCTGTATCAACAGACTTTCGTTCTTATTTAAGAACGAATGAATGACGGTTCAACACTATCTAGAAAACTTAGATATCGTACTGATGTGGACAATTGCGCAATTGGCGGTACTCGCCTTCTTAGCCGCTTTTGCTACTGCTGGGTGAGTTTTCAACAGATTTTTTTCATCCTCTCTGCAGAATTTATCTCGAAATTAGGCACTTTTCTCTTGCATGCTGAGTTTATGTTAGTTGAAGTTTTATCCCAAATTATCCCAGAAGTTTTATCCTAGAGAAATTAACAGTCACAAATTACCTGAGAATTGCTACTTCTCAGGACAGAGCATACATATTCACAAGCAAAAAATGCAGTCGTAACATCTGCATGCACGATCTGCAGTCATCAGAAAACCAGCGAAAATACCGATAATTCGGGATTAGTTTATTTATAGCAAGAAAAACCAAGGCTTAAACTTATTATGAATAGAACAATTTTCAGCGAAATAGAACAGCTGAAAGAAGTTCTAGGAAAGTTTGACAAAGATTACAAACAGGGCAATATGACGAGACTTGCGTCCGATTTCAGAAGTGCATTGAAGGAATATGGCGATGGTTTCGTTTTCCTTCTTATTTCACTTCAAATTTTAACCTTTTGAATGAAGGAAACCACTTAAATTAATTTTCATCTGAATTTATTGTAGCAGAAAAGTTAGATTTAAAAATTAAAAATTGTCATATTTTCAGGACAACAAGGGTGAGCACGATTCTATTTCACTGAGTACCATATGATTTCTATTGCAGAATTCTGATGGCATTGACTGAATAAAGCATTTGAAGCTTATAACATAATTTGAGAATTGCTTACCTTCAACACTTCTGATTGCATTTTTCTTTTTATGGGTGGCTAATAAAGCACTCTCGGAATGCAGCATAAAGGCGCAGAATCTGAAAATTAATGAAATAACAAGACGAATAGTTCAATTGATAAATTCTTCTAATCCCGCAGGAAATTGGGAGCAGATTGCATAGTTTTCTTTGGAGCTATCTTAGGAATATAGTGGGTATTACTAAAATATCTAACTTAAACTAAAGCAAGTAGAGATTGTCTCTAATTTTTCGCTCGTAAAAATTCTTGAAAATGAACCCCATTCAAAAATTACTGTAAATTTCAACAGGGAATCGACCGTTGTGCAAGAATTCTTGAAAAAAATGGAGAGCAATGGCGAGCAACGAGCAATGGAAAAATTAGAAACCGAATGGAAAGATTATGTAACCGCTCTCGGTACAGTTTTCCATCATTGATACTTCAGTATTTCAGAAAAGTAACTCTGTTCTGTGTGCATTTTCATTTCAGTTTTAAATTGTTCTTTTGTAGAACTAAAATTTTAGACGAAAGAGCAAAATTACTGTGAAATAATTTTGCAATTTACAGGAAAACATTACGATCAAAAGGAAACCAATTTTAGAATGGCAATATTTGCAAGCAACGAATTAATGACGGAAAAGATAAATAAAAAATATGAACAAGGCTTAGTTTCTTATACAACGGCCCTCAATGACTTGGCTGATTTGGTAAGTAAAGTGAAATGGATTTTGAAAAAGAAAAAGAAAAAATGGGAAATGGGATAGCAATATTTGATTTTGATCTTTTTAAATAGGAATTGTTGATTTTGACTCCTTCGTTTTGATTCAATTCTAGACCGATGAAGAATTTATGGTGATGAATGGACTTCGACTGCCCAATCAAACTTATCTTCGTGGGAAAAGACAGTCTTTTGATACATTTTACAAGTACGATCAAAGGGAACGCTTACCAAGTTCAGTTGATTGGAGAAAAAAAGGAGTCCTTACACCTGTTAGAAATCAAGTAGGATTTACATTTAACTTCTTTTCCGTAATATCATGTTGATTTGATTTCAATGTGATCAAATTCGACAAGTAATATAGATCGAATCGGAATTCTTCAGTGATCGAGAACTTGGCGACTGTGCCACGTGATCGGGACAGCAAGAGTTCATGATTCATGATTGATCACAGTATATCGATTTGGATGCTTGAGCTGAAAGTGCATGCAATGCAGCAATATCATTGCATATTGATTGTTTGCATTGAAGTTTGAGATCGAAATTTGATTGATTTGCATCTGAATCATCCTAAATAGAAGAATTAATTTTTTTTATAGGCTGATAGATTGATAAAATCTAGTGAAAACTGATTTTGTAGGGAGAGTGTGGCAGCTGTTATGCATTTGGTGCACTTGCGGCATTGGAAGCTTATCATAAGAAAAGGACTGGAAAACTTGTCAACTTATCCCCACAAAATGTTATTGATTGCACATGGGAACATGGTAACAATGGTTGTGATGGTGGCTTCATGGTTCCGGTAATTTTCTAATCCTTTCTGTAAATTTTCTGAACAATTCTGTACATTTAAAGAAAAATCCATTTTAATTATCAAATTTTGGGTTAATGTTTGCTGGCTAAATTAAGCCAAAATTTTACCGCAGCACACTTAGCAGATATTTGAATTAATGGTAAGTAAGCAATTTGTTTATAATCAGAATGATAAACCTCACTTATTTAAAGTGTTCAGGTGTTCACATATGCAAAATCGCATGGCATTGTAGCAGAATCGAAATATCCGTATGTGTTCACTGCAAAACGATCGTGTAAATGGAGAAAAGCTGATGTTGTTGCCACTGATAAAGGTTATCTTGAAATACGAGATGGCGACGAACTGGGACTTAAGCATGCTGTAGCTAAACATGGACCTGTTGTTGTCGGAATTTCCGGACATCAACGAAGTTTCAGATTTTATAAGTCCGGTATGTTATAATGAAATATTTCTGAAATACTTTGAATTAATTAAGTTTGGAATAAGCAGTGGATATATGAAGAGAAAATTTTAAACAAACATTATACCAAACTCTAATCTGATCTCTAATCTTTGAAAATTTTCAGGTATTTACTCCAGTAATACCTGTACTAAACCAAGTCATGCAGTATTGATTGTCGGTTACGGAACGCATCGAACTCACGGTGATTACTGGATCATTAAAAATAGGTATGTCTCAATTCACTTCCTACAATCATTCATACTTTATTTATTTCATACTTTTTTTTTTGGTATGATTTTTTGTCGTTGTATCTCTTTAAGTTTTTCTTAATACTAAATAAAATATTATGGCTGCTTTGAATGAATTGAAATTAAATGGATTTATGATTTTTAATTTCAGCTGGGGAACCCACTGGGGAGTTAAAGGATACGGTTATATGGCACGAAACAAAGGGAATATGTGCCACGTTGCTTCGATGGGTTCATTTCCCATCTGATATTAATTAATTTTGATTTCACAAGATATTTATTTCGCTATTTAACATTTGATACATATGCTAATTATGGTTTAATAATAAGATAAATTTCTGATAATGAAATATGCCGCATGCAAAAAGAGAACATTCATAAATTATGTTTGAAATTTTGAATTAGTATAGCAAGCAGTTATCAAATCTTGTAGCAAATTATTACTTCGTCAAATTATTAGCTTATAATTTGCTTATCCTTTGATTAAATTTTGTTTTGCCCATTTTCCTGCAAGTTGAGATTTGAACATCAAACGAATTATTTCTCTGGTCAAATAACGATATCATGACATTTCTTTGTTTTGATTACTAAAAGGGGGCTAAAAAGTGATCATCCATTAATCGATGCTCGACGAATAATTTCTATGTTTAAGTTGCAAGTGTTAACACTTTCCAACAATTTCGTATGCTAAAAGAAATGTTTCAGTAATGAATTAATCACATCTACAGTATTCTGCGACTTTTATTACGGTATGAATAAAAAAAGTTAGTTGGAAATAACTTAGAGTTAAATAGCCTGGTTTAATAAAGGCAGATTTTAAGATAGTATGCGGATTGACAAGAAATTTTACTTTTATTTGATAAAATAGTCTTTGATTCATTTTTCTTCTGAATACCAAAAATTTATTAAGTCATAATTAACCATAATTAACATCCTCAACACATATATCACATAAGCTAAAGTGCAAGAAATATCTTCCAATATCAAATTTAGTAAATATTAAATGGGAAATGAAGCCATAGAGGCGATCTGGCACATATTCCCTCTGTTTCGTGCCATATAAACATACCCATCTTTTCCCCAATCTGTACCCCAACTGAAAAAATTTCAACTGCTACTAGCATTAGTGCAAAGCAATAAACTGAGTCCATTTCATTAAAAGAAAATTTTTAGGGAAACCAAAATAAAAACAGATGAATTGCGGCAAACCTGTTTTTAACAATCCAGTAATCCCCATATGAGCGATCCGTTCCGTAACCAACCACCAGTACTGCATGGTCAATTTCATCGCAGTTTCCTTCAGAGTAAACGCCTATAACAGATATTGAAGAATGGGAAAACGAAATATAATGAAATAAACAATGTTGTACCGATAGTTGAATAATGATTTAATTACATTTATCACAAATAATTGCTTAATTATTCTCTAACTTATGATGAGATATACATTATAATTTACCGTCTTTATAAAATCTGAAAGAACGCTTAGAACCGCAAATTCCAACAACAACGGGTCCACGTTTGGCCACGGCATGTTTAAGTGCTAATTCGTCACCCGGTTCTATTTCGTTAAAACCATTGTCTGTGACAACAGCGATGTCTTCTTGCCACTTGCACTTTTCCTGAACCCCAACGTAAGGATATTTCGTTTCCATTGCAATTCCATTTTTTGTTGCGTATTCGAACACCTGAAAATCCTCTTAAGCCCATAAAATGAAAAATTGGAACCAAGAGTAAAAGCTAGTGAATGATGAAAAAATCTTTAGGCACTCAAAAAAGATCAAAAAATGACCGGAACCATGTAGCCACCATCACAACCATAGTTCTCTGTACAGTCAACAATATTTTGAGGGGATAAATCAAGAAGTCTTCCAGTCCTCTGCTTATGATAAGCTTCCAATGCTGCAGCTGTAGCGAATGCATAACAACTACCACACTGTCCCTGCAAAATTAGTTCAAAAAATTAAACTATCTATTTAGAACCATTCAAATGTAAACTAATCAAACTTCAGCGCAAATAATCACTATACATCAATACCGCCGCACTGCATGCATTTTTAGTTTACACATTCCTTTGTCGAGAAACTCGAAATAATCTCACGATTCACCAAATAATTTACAAAATATATCACGCAAAATTGTACTAATCCATAATACTACAATTTGTCTTAAATGAACACTAGAAGTATAGAACTGTTTCAAATTGTAAATTGTAAGCAACCATTATTCCAGCACTCATCTTCCCATTGTAGCTGAGCTTATCTCTTGTCTAGACATTTTCATCTGATAACAACGGGTATATGTACATTGTTTAATATGTTAAATACTCTTTGTTCCAAATCAAATTTACTTGCTATGTCGAAATATGTAAGGATTGAACTATGTAAAAAAAAATCGTAAAGGTTCCTAAGCTAATAGTCATTCGTTGAGAATCTACAATATTAAAACCTACTTCTTAAAGAGTAACGATCATCTGATAGCTCATTACTCAACAATTATACTCTTGCTGCAAGTCAGTGCCCACTATATAAGAATTTAAATCTTTTGTCTTCATCAGTTTTCTCAGTTCTTCCTTATCAGTACGCTACAGCTCAGCTGCTCTCCCCCACTCACAGTTCACTCATTTCTCCAACAATTTATTCATTTATCCATTTCCTTCATTTCATTTGTTGGTGCTATATGAAATTATCACTATTGCTGCTATAGTTAAACACCTACATATTGTGGTCGTTAGCGAATAAAATCGTTACAACAAATCTTTCATTCAAAGCATTCGTCTATACCAACTACAATAGCAATCAAGAAAGGCTCTTGAGCATACGAAAGTCAAATTCAAGTTACAAGTTATATTCAGATTCAACTCTAAATCTCATAACACTCCCAATCGATATGTTGCGATCAATTATGACTCGTTTGAAAAATCTTAGCAAGTTCCCCTGAATATTTCACTTCTTGAGGTCATGATCATGTTGTGACACGCGCTATTAGTCGCCAAGTTCTTGATCATTGAAGAAGTCCTAATTGATCCGTGTTGAAATTGTGGACAAGACGTTATATGTTACAAGTTATAAGTCTATAAAACCTACTTGATTTCTGGCAGGTGTAACGGCACCTTTCGTTCTCCAATCAACTAGATCTGGCAGTTGCTCCCTTTCATCATACTTATAAAATTCAGAAGTCTGCCTTTTCCCACGAAGATCAGTTTGATTGGGCAGTCGAAGTCCATTCATCACCATAAATTCTTCATCGGTCTAGAATTGAATCAAAACGAAGGTGTAAAATCAACAATTCCTATTTAAAAAGATCAAAATCAAATATTGCTATCCCATTTCCCATTTTTTCTTTTTCTTTTTCAAAATCCATTTCACTTTACTTACCAAATCAGCCAAGTCATTGAGGGCCGTTGTATAAGAAACTAAGCCTTGTTCATATTTTTTATTTATCTTTTCCGTCATTAATTCGTTGCTTTCAAATATTGCCATTCTAAAATTGGTTTCCTTTTGATCGTAATGTTTTCCTGCAAATTGCAAGAATTATTTCACAGTAATTTTGCTCTTTCGTCTAAAATTTTAGTTCTACAAAAGAAAAATTTAAAACTGAAATGAAAATGCACACAGAACTGAGTTACTTTTCTGAAATACTGAAGTATCAATGATGGAAAACTGTACCGAGAGCGGTTACATAATCTTTCCATTCGGTTTCTAATTTTTCCATTGCTCGTTGCTCGCCATTGCTCTCCATTTTTTTCAAGAATTCTTGCACAACGGTCGATTTGCTGTTTAAATTTACAGTAATTTTTGAATGGGGTTCATTTTCAAGAATTTTTACGAGCGAAAAATTAGAGACAATCTCTACTTGCTTTAGTTTAGTTAGATATTTTAGTAATACCCACTATATTCCTAAGATAGCTCCAAAGAAAACTATGCAATCTGTTTTCAATTTCCTACGGGATTAGAAGAATTTATGAATTGAACTATTCGTCTTGTTATTTCATTAATTTTCAGATTCTGCGCCTTTATGCTGCATTCCGAGAGTGCTTTATTAGCCACCCATAAAAAGAAAAATGCAATCAGAAGTGTTGAAGGTAAGCAATTCTCAAATTATGTTATAAGCTTCAAATGCTTTATTCAGTCAATGCCATCAGAATTCTGCAATAGAAATCATATGGTACTCAGTGAAATAGAATCGTGCTCACCCTTGTTGTCCTGAAAATATGACAATTCTTAATTTTTAAATCTAACTTTTCTGCTACAATAAATTCAGATGAAAATTAATTTAAGTGGTTTCCTTCATTCAAAAGGTTAAAATTTGAAGTGAAATAAGAAGGAAAACGAAACCATCGCCATATTCCTTCAATGCACTTCTGAAATCGGACGCAAGTCTCGTCATATTGCCCTGTTTGTAATCTTTGTCAAACTTTCCTAGAACTTCTTTCAGCTGTTCTATTTCGCTGAAAATTGTTCTATTCATAATAAGTTTAAGCCTTGGTTTTTCTTGCTATAAATAAACTAATCCCGAATTATCGGTATTTTCGCTGGTTTTCTGATGACTGCAGATCGTGCATGCAGATGTTACGATTGCATTTTTTGCTTGTGAATATGTATGCTCTGTCCTGAGAAGTAGCAATTCTCAGGTAATTTGTGACTGTTAATTTCTCTAGGATAAAACTTCTGGGATAATTTGGGATAAAACTTCAACTAACATAAATCCAGCATGCAAGAGAAAACTGCCTAATTTCGCGATAAATTTTGCAGAGAGGATGAAAAAATCTATTGAAAACTCACCCAGCAGTAGCAAAAGCGGCTAAGAAGGCGAGTACCGCCAATTGCGCAATTGTCCACATCAGTGCGATATCTAAGTTTTCTAGATAGTGTTGAACCGTCATTCATTCGTTCTTAAATAAGAACGAAAGTCTGTTGATACAGCTTTATTATCAACCAAGTACAATGCCAATGTTGACTATATTTTGAAAGGAATTTTCTTCTGAGAAATGAATTTCTGAAAACCAAATGGGCAGGAACAAACAATAATATCCGTTCAGTAATAATCAAAATGGAAAGGGTTATATAGTTAATGGGAATTTATTTATATTTATTTATTAAAATTTATTAAGAGAAATTTATACTGGCAGTTTAGGAAAACTGTAAACGAAAGGACAATTTAGTTTTTTCATCTCATCGAATCTTAGGCAGGCAGTCCAGTTGATAATTAAATACATTCCACTTATGATTTGGCTTAGTTTTTTTTT